ATCATCCCGATCAGGCATATCTGCCCAATCTCCCGGGGGCGCTCGTCCATGGTGGTACTTCGCCTGAATGTCCTGCCTCATCCCTAACGGGATATGGGCAGCCTCAGTCGCCAACTTCTTCATGTTCCACTGCTGATCAGCCCATGGCGTAGACTTCCGGTCTCGAGGGTTGATGTACTCTTGATCAATCCTCCCAGCAGCTCGGGAAGCATCCAATGCTGCGTACATGAAGTCATTGTGCACAGCCCGCTCCAACACGGCGTTCCACTCGCTATCGCGATTAGGGAACACTATGTGGGCAGTCTCGCTTGCCTTCTTCCACTCCTCGGCGGTAACCCGCTCCCGAGCGATCGCCTTGTTCCGGATCACAGCATAGATGAAGGGCTCACCAGCCTCCCTTGCCAGGACATGCTGGACGATGAACCTCCTATTTGATCTGCTCTCCGCCGGTCTCGCAGAAGTCCGCGAGCCCCTTGATGAAAGGTAGGAACTATGCTCACGATGATGCCGAACCTCCGCTGGCTTCAGCTCGGGCGCATCCCCCGGATGCTCCGGGTAGGGCGTGTCCACATAATTGTGTGTTCCCCCTCGAGACTCCTGGGTCGAAGCTCCCTTCGGGGTCGCTGCGGTATCCCGCAAATCCCCGTCATCGTCCGTGTACTTGGGAGCGTAGGAGATCGGCACACCTGGGCCAGCCGGATCCGGCGTCTCATCCTTCTTCTGGGTGTCAACTGGATCCTTAGCCCTACGTTCTTCCCTAACAGGCGATGCTGCTCGCTTTGCTGCAGGCGACTCCACGGAGGGTCCACTTGCGGCTGCAGCGGCCGGAGGTACCTCAGCCTCCCTATCGGGAGTCTCTCCCCCAACCTCGGCCTCTTCCTCCAGCTCCATCTCAACATCCCCGGCGAACTCTTGTCGCTCGGCCTCAGTCGGACCCTCGCCATCGTTGAAGGTATCCGTAGGGAGATCGATCCCTCTCCTATCGGGCAGGAGATCGTCAACCTCAGCGGAGCCACCTGTGTCCTCTTCCTCGATCGTCGCTCTGGGCGTCCGAAGACTCCATGACCAGCGATTTCCAACTTCGGCCGTATAGACCTGAGGGGAAGATACCCTCGGACTCCGAGGAGGGTTCGGTGGAGACTTTGGTCTCGCCGATGCCAACATCTCCTTCGTGACTAACGCCTTAGGAGGGGCTTTCGGGGCAGCAGCATGGCCTTCCGCACGCTGTCCTGCGTCAGATGATTGCCCACCGGGAGTTGCGCCTGCCGGCGGTCCTCCCTGAGCAGCACCCGTCATCTCGACATCCTCAGACTCAGACATCGAGCCACCATCTCCCATCTTCGAAGAAGTACCCTCCTTCAGATGTTTGAAGAGTCCGGTTCGTCATTGCACTCGGGTTCGTACTCCTCGTTCTCATAGATCTCAGCCTCATCTTCATCGAGCTATTTCCCGGACTCTGGGTGTCAGCATGAGCCCTAATACCCCTACCCTGGGGTTCGGAGAAACACTCCTGCGATCGCGGATCGGCCTGTCTAGGTTCGGAGAAACGCTCCCACTATCGCGGATCGGCCTTTCCAGGTTCGGAGAAACGCTCCCGCTATCGCGGATTGTCCTTTCCCCCCTTGATTGCCGATTCCTGACCTGGGGACGGCAGTAGGTCTCGGGCTCCTGTTTCTACCCACATCCCTATTCGGGGAAACTGAAACGCGCGCCGGGGGCCATCCCTCGTGCGCCCTGGCGGGGAGTGTGATCTGTCAGGTAGTCCTAGGGCTCTTCTGCTTCTGCTGTCAGCCCTTTCCCTAACGGGATGTCTGTCCGCACAAGAAGCATCGGCCCTAACGGGTGCATTTGGCGAAGCATGGTCTGTCAGGCTAACGCCCCCACCCGGCCTTACCGGAAGATCGGTAGGAGTAGGCGTCGGTGACCTGATCCTATGTCCCTGTCCTGCAAAGGCGTTGTACCCAACATTCTGCCTCTCTCTGAGTCCTCGACGATTCTGCTGGACTCCCTGAATAATGTCAGCAGCCTCATCAACGTGTCCTTCAATTTCAGAAAGCTGCGCCATAACTCTGTTGTTCATTCCATTCAGAGTGTGGATATTGCTCTCGACGGTTGTCACTCTTCGCATCGTGGCATCCAGCGAGTTGCGATATGAGGCGAGCTCACGTCTAACGATGGATTGTGTCTGCTCATTAATCGAGGGAAAGCCACGAACCTGACCTCTTATATCCTCAATGATTCGTTGAAGATTTCGCGAGCTTGACTCGTATTCTGCAATCCGAGAGTTCGTAGTTTCGAGCTTCTCAGCGACAAAGTTGTGTTCTCGATGTTGACGACGAAAATCACGAGAAAGATCCTGGATTTCCCGATGGACCTCTCCAATTGCCTCGTGCCAGTCCTGTGGGGAATCAGGCTCTGCTGGTCTATCGACCGCCTGATGTCCCCTTCCGCTTTGCAATCTCGACACTTGTTCGGCAAGACCGACCTGCTCTTCGTGAATACCGCTAAAGGATTCGGTGACCCACTTCGCAAGCTTGTCGTGTTCAACGTGTTCCACTGCTGGTAGCGATCATCACCTGCCGGCGTCCGCAGCCCGACGGTCTTCTCTACCAAGAAAATCCGTCCCTCGAGCTTGTCTAAGTCCTTAAGGATCTCATCTTCAGAAGCAGCATGGCTCCTGCGAATAGCCTGATGATTTTCCTGAATGACCTGACGGAGCTGGCCAGTGGCGATTTCAGTGCCCTTAGCGGATTCCCGAATTTCATTGGAAAGCAAGTTGGTCCTCTGATCCACGATTTCGGCCTGTCCATCGATAGCATGCCTAACAATGGCCTTGGTATCCGGGACTATCTCACTGGCAAATCGTTGAGCTATCATTCGCATCCTATCGGCATCAGATTGAGTCGCAACCTCAGTGGCCAAGCGACTAACCCTGTCCTTCGTCTGCTGATTCTCGTCGCTCCAATCCTTTCGCATGGAACTCACTTGACCATTCAGTAACCTGATTTGGTCGGCAAAAATGTGGAATGCTTTCGCGACTGAACCAGACACTTCACCTCTCTCGAGCATTTCCTGGATGTGCAAATCAAACACCTCCTTCGCCCTAGCGTCGCCCGACTCGCCAGAAGAATGGGATCTGTGGGCTGGAGGAGTCGATATCTCGATCCTCTCAGGAGCCCTACCAGCTCTAGCATATCTTCTGGGGTCAACTACAGGACTATCATCAATCCTGAAAGGCCTACTCGGGTTGGATCCCCCTCTCCGGCTATCGCCAGATCGCGGATCAACATTGGATGCACGAGACTCAGGAGTAGAGTGGATATGAACATCAGCGGGATCGAACATTTCCTCATCCTGCGGAGTTGAACCTAATGGTGAAGGGCTAGCTCTCCTCGCCTTTGACCTATCGGTCTCTACGGCCAGGGGTGACGGCCTCTTCGCAGAAGCACTGCGTTCCCTAGCGGCCGATCTGGGGGGTGAACTCATTGCTAGACCTTAGCGGTTCGAGGTCGCTGGGATCTCGCCCTAACGGGCTAGCGATCGACGGACGATCCTCGATCCCGAGTGCATTGGCAAGCCGACCGTCTCTCGCGCTTGTCTCAACTACTTCGGCAGCCCGTTCAGTGACCCTCGGCGAACCAGTAACCCGGTTCGCGTTCTCGTCTCTCTGATGCAACGGACCTCCAAATGTAATGTTGGGAAAAGGGGGAACATTCGGGGTATGGTCAACCACTGGAGGACCTATCGGTCCCTCCCGGTCATGGATGGCCTCCAAACCCCGAAGAACTTCCCGGCTATCCCTGGCTCTCTCTCTCTCTCGCTCCGGGTGTCCCTGTCAACACGAAGGTCCCTTGCAGCTCCACGAGAGAGACTCCTGGGCCTTGCAGCAGCACGGCTTCTCTCACTTCGGCGTGCCATATTTTCTTCCTCATCACGACGATCCGCAAATGCGGCAAAATCTTCATCATTTTGAAACTCAAACTCGGCAGCCCCAGCCTGCGGTTGATGCTAACAGAGCATCGTATCCGAAGCCTGTGAACTTCCTCTCCTCATGCTCATCAAACTGACCTGGATTTTGAGAACCGGTGGATCGACCCGAGATATGAGCCAGAACCATGGTCCCTGGTCCCCGCGGCCTGTCCCCGAGCTCATCCAAGACCTGCGATCCACCTGGAACAAGAGATCTCGGGGGTCGGGTTGGCATGGCCTCCGGGTCGTCCGAATGAGGGCGGGCCATGTTCATCGCCATGCTGATGAAGTCCAAATGTCCATGCCTGAGACCTGACTCAGAGCCGCTCCTATCGGGGCGAGCTCTTTGTGCTTGCTCATCATCGGTGGCCTGACGGAAAAACGATCGTCTCCATCGTCAGTGAACCTGCCACGGCTTCTGGGTGTGTCCCTATCGGGATCTTCACCCCTGCGGTCCTGACCTGCTGAACCTACCTCAAAATTCCTCGAAGGATGGCCTCCTCATCCACGACACTCCTCTGTGATCGTGGGGTCGACATAGAGCTTGTAGTTGATGGTCTCAAGCGCGTAGGAAAGTCCTACGGCTGATAACCTGTGATTCGGGCACGAGCCTGTGCCCAGGCAATGGGTAAGTTGGGGTAAACAAGCCACAAAAGCAAGGTTCCCCAAAAGCAAACCAATCCCCGGTCCCAAAGATCAGGGTTTCCCACACACCAGAGAACAACAACCAAAAGGAAACAAACCAAAAGAGAAAAGGGTTAACCCGCAACCTTGGTCGACAACAGGCCGCACGACTGGTCCCTACCAACCTGGCGGCGGCCCGAGGTCTCTTTCTCCCCCGAGATGCCGTCGGTCGACGCAGGGGTTCGGCGACGCCCATTCGAGGCGCTTGAGCCAACACACCACAGGTCGGTCACTACCGCGACGTCCCTGATGATGATATGAACCATGGCTAATCACAAATGATTGTATTGCAAGTGCTCTTGGCTATCCCAGACTTGATCCCCGTCGAATGTAAACACCAAGCAGGCCTGGGCATCACCTCCTCATCCTTGCAGAGGCCCAAGTCAATGCAGCCGCAGACAGACGTGGGAACCTTGCCCCAACAAGATCCAAAAGCACAGAATGCTCCAAACTCGGCTCCGTGGGAAAGTTTCTTGTCGTCCTAAACTTGGCAAGCATCTCCAAGTAAGTTTCCACCAAGTTGCCTCCAAGCGAAGGCACCGCGCCAAGCCCCAAAGCCCGGAGTGCCAAGGAAGCGGGTGGCCCCGCATCAGTCTTGGGTGAAGGGCCTGCGTGCCTCCGGCAAGCAAGCAACTTGCTTCAACTTCTATCTTCTTCTGGCGCCACCTTCGCCTTGTCTGGAACCTTCTGAATGCTTGAAAACCAAAACCAAAAAAGGGACCTTCAAAGAACTCTATGGTATGAACGTCCGCACCCAGCGCCTCGCAGAATGAACCACACCTGCGGCTTCTTGCGGTGGCCCTGCGCCCGTTGAATCAGGGCGAGGCCAGTGCACAATGCCGCCAGTGGGTCCTCCTCTGCTGGTATGTAGATGTAGTGAGAGAACCTGCCCTCCGCACCTTTACAAGGCTCCCCAAAGCTATGCGGCGCCCCGAACAACTCCCTGGCGCTATCCAGCACAGGGGTGGGCGCCTGGAAAAGCCAGCGCTCGCCGGGCTTGGGCTGAAACGCATCAAGGGCCAAGGTCTCCTCCCACTTCACCTCAAAAAAGCTCACCTGACTGCGTGGCAGGCTTGCAACCAAGGCCCGCTGGATCTGCTCTGGCAGCACCTTGCGGAGCAGCACATCCTCCAGGCGCCACAGCAGCTTGCCTTCTGCGAAGACCTGGCAAGTGCAGACCTGGACTTGCTCCGTGCTGTGCGTGGTGCACACCTGCAGTATCAAGTCCCTGCTGGGCGCATCTGCGAGGATGGCAATCCGCTTGACACCGGCAAACACCATGAGGCACTGCGCGGCGGCCATCGCAGAATGCAGCGTGGCCTCCAGCAAGAAGGGGTGCACCACAAATCCCTGGGAAGACAGGTCCAACTTCAGGCGGCACACCAAGTCCTGGTTTTGGAACACGGCCTGCTGGCAGATCTGGAGCTGCGGCCCAACCTGCAAGCCGTAGCTCTCCAGTCTGGAGTAGAGCGCACAGGGCTCTCCCTCAAGCTTTGGCTGCGGGTCGGTTTGTGGCGCGGGGCCACCCAAGCAGCCAACGCAGTGCTTGGTCCACTTGTCGGTGCCAACGCAGCGGCTGTGTATCTCGAAGTGCTTGTCATTCACTACCAAACCAATGGTCACCTCATGCTCTGCGCAGTCACCGTCCTACGCCAAACTTGGACATCTCTAAGGACGCAACGCGCAATCTTCAAGTGAACTGTTCTTTCAATATACGGGCACCGCCTGTTCCAGCTGAGCTGATGCGACCGTGGTTGCAAGACCATGAAGACAACGATGTGCATTCTGAGCCTACTTGTTTCATGCTTGTGAATCGAATCCACACGTAAGGGGAATCCCACTGGCAAACGGACATCTCTGTCTCCTTGGCCAGAGCCAAGGGCCACGTCATCTCCACATCCTCCATCAGCACCTGAACGTTTCATTGCTCAAAATCCAATTGCATGTCGCAAACCGGAAGAGCCCACACTGCTGAAACCTATCCTTCAACGCCTTTGGCATTCTCAGAAATCCAGGAGCTACTGCGCGCTTGCTTGCCCTGCCTCCCGCTCCAGCGTTCGTGCCGCCTCCGCAACCATCTCGAGCAACAGCCCGGGAGGCACCACGAGCTGCCCGTGCAGCTGCTGGGATGTAGCGAGCTCGAAAAGGTCCCCCCTGAAAACAACGCGGAAGCGACGTTCAAGACTCCATGTGGATCATGGTCATGTTCCCTCCACACAAAGCTCTGCGTCGGTTGACCGTAAGAGGTCAATGACCATCCAAGCAGCACATGCAGGCTGGCAGAAAGCAAAAAATGCACAAGCCAATTCACACGCCAAGCGCTGCTTGCCTTAAGGCCACCTCAAAGAAGTCCCGGTCTGCGCTCTGACGGTTCTTCACCAAGCGCAGGGCCACATCCCGCCAAGGAAAGGCCTGCCGCTGGAAGCGCAGAGCCGGGTGGCTCAGCATGGAGAGCGCCGCATGGACCGACTCCTCTTCGCGGTTCTCGCTCTCCAGGGAGTGCAGCCAAGGCCAATCCTTTGGGAACTCAAGGAACATATTCTGACGTGCAACGAACAAAGAACAATCCAAGCAGTTTGGACATTCCCGGAGCCTTGGGAAGTGCATTGACACATCTGCGCCCCATCTTGACCAGAGTAGGCTCGGGGCCTATCTCCAAGTATGCTTCTGGCCCTTGGTCTGAAGATAAAGAAGCTAAAGACATCATTGCGTTGGCAAATCGCACTGTCTGTAGCGCATGGCTCACCCAGTACTCCGGCGTAGTGATGGCTTCGGTCTCTTCTTGGCCAGTCACGGTCGAGATGAATGCCACCTGAAAGAACGCCGAGAGAAGTGTAACCCTGTCCTGTTGAAGAAAAATGAAGCTACAACATTGTGGTCCTTATGCTTCAAGCCAGGCGTGAACCAACCGCACAAACAAACAAAAACGCTTCCGAAGCGGCCTACGCCCCTCAACTCAGATCTCAGACCGTGCCTTTGGCTGCCCAAACTGCGTCCCAGACATCTCCCGTCGGAAAGCATCCAGCATTGGGGCCATGAGCGGCGAGTGGAATGCGTGCGAGACCTTCAGCTCCCTGTGGTTTGCGCCCGTTGCCTCCACCACCTGCCAGGCTATGGCCCACTTTCGACCCATCAAGCAAAGAGCTAGTCCATGATCAACTTGCTGCAAATGCAGATATCTAGATGTGTTCACAGTGGCTTTGGCACCCCTTTAACAAATGTCCTCAAAGGTAGCGAACCACAATCAGCCGGCCGCTTGCTTCTGCGGATAAATCCACAGGCGCTTCTACGTCCAAGCGCAAGGGTACTGCAGCTTCCCATTTGTTTCTTGCAGCGGTGCTAGGACCCCAGCGCGCCTTCTTCACCACGGCCCGGCACCCTGACACCACAGTCAGCTGCGGTCCGTTCACTGCGGCAACGGACACCTGGCCCGAATCCTCCTGCGCCATGGCCTGCAGCACCTTCTCCTCCTGGGCCGACGGGCACCTTCTAGCACACACAGCCCTGGTTTCCAGGCAGGTTCCGGTATACATTCCGGCCACGTTTTCCCTAAGTGGCGCGCGCGTAACAAAGCAAATTTAATAACCATGCCCAAGAGCGAGGGAAGAGAAAGCACAAAGCACACCTTCGCCCTTGCGGCCGGGCGTCCGCAGCGAAGCAGGCAGTCATACCGCCTGCATCATCTTCCTGAAACCGACAAATAACTAGTGCGAATTGACCGCGACTCGAAGGAGCGCCCGCGCAAGATGCCACTTTGCAGATCTAAGGGCTTTGGAGGCAGATGCTCCCTGCTGAAACCAAGCAAAGCCCAAACCAGACTTGATGATATCGGCTCCACGGCCAAACGCCTTCCCCGGCCAAACGAAAGCAGCCAAGGCTCACAGAGCTCCGCGATGAGGCGCCCCCTCGCTGCCACCAGCCGCAACGCCTCTGCCAGCGGCAGCACCTGCGAAGCCACCGCCGCGGCGAACTCCCCGACGCTGTGGCCCAACACTGCGCAGGGCTCCACACCCTTCTGCCGCCACATCTCCAGCAAAGCATACCTCGTGGCTCCGCACACGCCCGCTTCCATTCGATCGCGCTAAAACTAACTTTCGTTCCGAGGTAAAACCCCCGCGTGATGGAAATTGAGTACGGACCCCTAGACTTTGGCAGGGCTCGGAAGTCGCAACTTTTCACTGCAACGGGACAAAGAAGCCCCAGCAAAGGGCAGCAAAATGCTATAAAGCCACTTGTGCCATCCTGCTGCCAATCAGTTTTTTGCTCCCGCGCACGCACTCAACCAAGTCTTGCCCAAGAACAAACAAAAGGAAGAATATACTTGTCCAAAGAAAGGTCAAAACCTTGCGCTCAGCTTCTTGCACGTCCCACACGAACATGATGCAAATCACACGTGCAGAAATCAAGTGAGCCTTTTTCCTGACTAATCTTAATTGACGGGAGTTTAGGGTGAACACCATATGGCCTTGCTTGCAGCTTGAAGGTTTGCCACAGCAAACTTTGAAGCCGAAACCTTGCGGAATTCCCTGGGCATATGTCTGAGATGCTGGATGGAGAAGATAGCCGGCTGCGAATATTTTGTGTGGTTCAGCAAATCGCAGTGCTCATCCTTCCAAAGGACATCCAGCAAAGGCACATCAAGCAAGGGCTTCAAGACCTCGTCGCAGCGGTCCAGCGCCAATCGGAAAGACTCCTCTCGTCTGTACAGTTCTTGTCCTGGCTCCAGTTGCTAACAAAACAAGAGCCCCAAAACAGCCAAGCTTCAAATGTCAGCCGAACTCATCCGAGGCACCCATTCCGAGACGCTGGGAGCCCTGGCCAGTAAAGAGAAACGCCACGCGCCGTTGCTTCACCTCAACCTCCTTGTGCTCGCCAGCCTTGCAGGTGACGTGCGCGTTTGTGCCCCCAAAGCCAAATGAGGAGAGGCCGGAGGCGAGCAAGTTCACAGGCTGCGGTGTCAGGGGGATCTCCGCAGGGAAGTCCAAGTCGATGACCGGGTTCAATTTTGCGAAGTGGATGTTGGGAGGCGCCAAACGGTGCTGCAAGACCAGCATGCTCTTCACAAATCCACCCATGCCAGCCGGACCCTTCAGGGGGTCTTGTGCTTGCCGACAACATCAAATTCCCCATTAGGTGCCTTTGGGCCATCAACGACTGTGTCAGGCCTACTCCGGCTAGATGCAAGTTACATGTATGATTACGCTCGAGTGCGATCGTAGGCAAGCAAAGGAAGCTGCAAGTCCGCTGGGTAGAACTTTTTGCGGCACTTCACTCAGACAATATATAGCAAGATTGAGTCAGGACTACTTAAGAAAATAAAAAACAAGCGTCAAAGCATTGGTGCATGTTCAATGCGTTTCTTTGTTGGTTGAATGTTATTCACCCTTCTCTCTCTCTCTCTCTCTCACTTTAAAAATCGGAGTTACAATTAAAGTGCAAGTGCTGTAATGCTGCACTAACAAGCAAACCTGTAGTGTCTGCAATGCACGTTTTCCAGGTGGGCGCTGTAGTCATGAAACTGGGCAGCTCAAGGCCTGCAGCATATACTACACACAACACCAGTGCAAGTAGCGAAGCATGTAGTTTGACACGGCCCCTCCGTTACAAGACCTAACTGTAGCATCTTTCAAGGAGCTCACGCCTGTTCAGGTTTCAGTCCCGGACGTAGTTGGGCTGAACGGAGTTGGTGAGGAAGCACTTGTAGTTGTAGTGGAGCATGTTGGGACTGTTTGAGGTCGCGCAGTGCTCTGACTGTGTTTGCCTCAGGTTCCTGTCCCGATCCTCGAGTTCTGTTGCGGTCTTTGATGGGGCTGACTGGCATTGTGGTAGTTCCTGAGAGGGAGTAGTAGCAAGGTGGGAAGTTCTTCTGAACCGAAGTGTTGGTCACGGGTTTCTGTAGTTTTGCAGAGGACGCACCTTGTAGCACGTTCAACTGCGTTGTCGTTGATGTAGTTTGCCTTGGAGTGAATGAAGTGGTAGGAAAGGTGTAGCTGGCTCTGAAGTTGCTGTAGTGTGGAACAGGTTGAGTGTAGCTGCGTCACCCCGTCCTGCGGTGAGAAAACAGTAGTCTTTTGCTGTTAGTGGGATGTACAACTTGGTGCGCTGGTCGCCCGAATTGTAGATGTCCTGTAGGTTGGAGTTGAGTGGCAGTGGAGTCGCTGCGGTCTGTAGTTGTTGGTCGCAACGCGCCCGTAGTTGCGCAGAGTTTTGCGCCGGCAGTGGAGTCGGTGTAGTCGCCTCCGGGGTAGTCGACATTGCCACCTCATCTTCCGGAGTTGTAGTCACAAAGCGATCCATGGCTGTAGTGACCTAGAAAAAGCGCGGTAAAACAGTAGTGCAAAATAGCCTGCGTGGCGGCTTGCAGAAAGCGGGCAGACATGAAAGCAAACAAACACATGTAGTGTTGACTGAAGCCGCCAAGCATGCCGCAAAAAGCGCAAGCGACATTACAAGTAGATACTGTTACTTACATACAAAATGTTACATGTTACATGCTGCTGCCACATACAAAAGGTTTGGAATTGTTGTTGCGAAACAGTTGTGATGGTCGTTCGTAGTGCTAAACGCGTATCCCAACGCTCTGGATGAGCCGGTGTAGTGTTTCTTTGCTGATGCATTTGGTGGCCAAATCTGCGCTGTTGTGAAGCGTGTTGATCTTGAGGATTCTGACGATGTCGTGTTTGATGAGGTCTTGCGTGTGGAGGAATTTGAGGTCGATGCGCTTTGCGCCTTGTCGTGTAGCAATGCCTTCGCCTACTGTGCGAATGCGTAGATTTAGCTCGCTGCAAATGTTTGTTTCAAGTAGGAAGTGTAGTCCCTCAATGACTTCTGTGCAAATTGCGTAGATCTCAGACTCTGCTGCAGCAGTCTTGGAAACCTGAAGTTGATTTCCTGGTAGTAGGGCATCCTGCCCAGTCAGCATGGACATGAACGTCGAGATCCAGGACGCTCTGATCTCGTTGTCGTTCGTGATCTGTCCAGCGCGTAGTCGGAGATGTTGTTGCAGTGCTCCTTTGCTCTTGTTGAGTAGTATTGCAATCTTTACTCCATCTAGTAGTGCTGCGCCGTTGTCTTTCTGGTAGTGGTTGATGTCCTTCAAACTGCGCTTCAGAGGCGCTTCATTGAATGTAGGTTCCTGCAGTCTGGTAAGGTAGCCAACGCTTCGTGTTCCTACTGGTGGGCTGAAACTGTTGCGCAAGAGTAGTTTCACATCCATTTGCGTTGTAGCGGGTTTGCCTTCCTACTGTAGCTGCTGCTCCCTGACACACGTTGATGAGGATGTAGTGTAGATCTCTGGTGAGGCCTACTGCTTTGCTTGCTTGCGTAGGGTCGAATGTGTGCTCTGATGTCTGCATCCTCAGTTTGTCGTGTAGCTACTTGTGCCAGTTGTAGCACCAGGTTGAAGTCTCGGTCTATGAGATATGCTTGTGCTTGAACAGCCGTTCCTTACACTGGGAGTAGTCACAAGTGAAGAAAGGCGGTGGCAGTTTGTGGCTGTGTAGTCTCTTTGTCTTGCTCCTGTGTTGTTCCTTCTCCCGTAGTCGTGGCTCCTACTGTTTCTGCTGCTGGTAGCCCATTGTCTGTTCCTCTGCTTTGCTGCGCTGATGCTGACGCTGCCTCTCCTGCCATGTCGTAGTAGTTTGGCACGCGATTGCCGTTGCAGTTGTTGTTGTTGTTGTTGTTGTTGTTGTTGTTGTTGTTGTTGTTGTTGTTGTTGTTGTTGTTGTTGTTGTTGTTGTTGTTGTTGCGCTTACTGCTGTGTACTGGAGCTCCCCTATGTTTAGGGTCTCAGCTCCGCTACCACGTTGAAATCGAACCGTTGTTTACTACAAGCGCAAGTGCTGTAATGTTGTTGACACAAACAAACCTGTAGTCTGCACAGCTCCTATTGGCTCAAAGCTCAAGGTCTGCGGTCATGTACAAGCTATGTAGCAGAACACCTCATGTATATTGACATCCGTCTCTCCGCGCCATCTCCCGAGGGCACGTTCTTTGAAATCCCAACTTGATTGTAACGCGCGTTAATTTGTCTTTATGACGCTTAAGTAGTTCAATATGTTCATCATTAACATGTCTTTTCTTTGCCCAAGTGGACCCAAAAACACCTGTACCACGGACTAGCTTCCGCCACGCCATCCCCAAAATAATTCTTGGTGACTCATGTGGCACTCCACCCGGCTCTACACCAAATGTCCAGCCAAATCAGCACACCCTTCCTCCAAGTGCCCGATGTTGGTCTTCACCGAGCACAGTTGCAGGGGCCGCTCCCGATCACCCAGCATCACCTTCAGCGCGCCTACCTCGATGGGGTCCCCCAACGCGGTCCCCGTGCCGTGGCATTCCTCGGAGAAGAAAAGGAAATGCAAAATAAGGGCCTCGCAAAATTGAGCACTCCTCTGAGTGTATCTTTGACCCCCTCCACTTTCAACAGGAAGGAATTTCACAACAGGTTCTGCCTTGCAACCTTGGCGCCACAAGGCCCAGCTCTGAGCCCAGCAGTTCGGCACGGCCCAGCGCTTGGCGGATGACCTGCGAACAGCGCAAAGGCCAGGAGAAACCCAGCGAATTCGAGACCCTGGTCCTCCTGCTGGGCTGGGCCGTTGGGCGCAGTCAGGGTGGAGCTGCGCCCGTCCTGCGCACCGTTTTACCCTTTCAAAAAAACAATTGGGTCACTTCACGCCTCAATCCTTCGCCCCAGGATTTGACCAAGAATTTTTGAAGAGAGCAACGGCTTCGCCGCTGAAGGTCGGGAAGCAAGACGCGACCTTTTGAGTCAAGGTGAAATAAACCAAACAAGGGGAGCGAAGGACGAAACGCGGGGTTATTGCAAGTTGGCCAGGCTCAGCCTTTGTCCAAATCTCACCTCTTACATGGTGGAAATTTGCTCCCCAAAGTTGTTGTAGCCCTTCTTTCAGAACTCTTTGAGTGCCCAAAATGCGCAGGACAGGCCCACGTTACAAGAGCCTCAGACTCAAGCTCAGCTGCTCTTGCACCCGGCTGCTGTCTCCGCCGTGTGTTCGAGCACCCCAGGTCACTACAGCCCCACATTCAAGAATGGCAGAAAGAGCACCCTGAGTTGCTTGGATGCTCTTGACAGTCCGCAGCTTCTTTTGCACCTGGCAGCTCTCTCCGCCATACTCTGGATCACCCCAGGTCACAACAGCCCGGAATCAAGAATGGCAGCAAAAGCACGAGAAGTCGCTTGGATGTGCTGGACGTTCTTCAGCTGCTCTTGCGCATGGCTGCTGTCTCCGCCCCGTAGTGGGTAACCCCAGGTCGCGACAGCCCCAGATTCAAGAATCGCTGCAAATGCACTGTCAGTTGCTTGGATGTGCTGAACATGCCTCAGCTGCTCTTGCACTTGCCTGCTATCTCCTCCGAAGACTCGATTACCCCAGGTCACAACAGCTCCAGATTCAAGAATGGCTGCAAAAGCGCTGCCACTTGCTTGGATGCGCTGGACGTTCTTCAGCTGCTCTTGCACCTGGCCGCTATCTCCGCCCCAGGCTGCATCACCCCAGGTCACAACAGCTCCAGACTCAAGAATGGCAGCGAAAGCACCGCCACTTGCTTGGATGCTCTGGACGTTCCTCAGCTGCTCTTGCACCTCGCTGCTGTCTCCGCCATGTTTTGGACTACCCCAGGTCACAACAGCCCCACATCCAAGAATGGCTGCAAAAGCAGCGCTCTGTTGCTTGAATGTGCTGGATGCTCGTCAGCTGCTCTTGCACCTGGCTGCTGTCTCCGCCCTTGTGTGGATGACCCCAAGTCACTACGGCCCCACACTCGAGAATGGCAGCAAAAGCTGCGTGAGTTGCTTGGATGCGCTTGACTTTCCTCAGCTGATTCTGCACCTGGCTGCTGTCTCCGCCATACTCCGGATCACCCCAGGTCACAACAGCCCCAGAATCAAGAATGGCAGCAAAAGCACCATGGGCAGTTGCTTGGATGTGCTGGACGTTCCTCAGCTGCTCTTGCACCTGGCTGCTGTCTCCGCTATACTCTGGATCACCCCAGGTCACAACAGCCCCAGAATCAAGAATGGCAGCAAAAGCACGAGAAGTCGTTTGGACGCGCTGGACGTTCTTCAGCTCTTGCGCCTGGCTGTCTCCGCCGTATCCTGGATCACCCCAGATCAGAAGCTCGCCCTGGTAGCCATGAAAAGCGAACGCCCTATGAGTGGCCGCCTGCTTCACAAGCTGCGCAACCGCAGCCACTACGTCCCCGTCACGCAACCGGCCGTCAAATCGAGCTGCTGGCCTTTGGCATGAGCTTCAAACAGCGCTGAAAATGTTGCTGCGCTGCATCCTTCAGCTCACTGATGCGCGCGGCCGGTGAGACTGAACATCCACCTTCATGGCGCAGGACGGTATCGCTGTCTGAAGCACCCGAGCTAGGGAAAGTGTACAAATCCTTTAACACCCACGCAGGGAAAAAGTCTTTGTGGGGTCCAGCTGTCCAACCACACAAGCATGACTGAAGCCCAAGATCAGCGGCTCGCTGGCAAACAGGACCGCACCAACTTGCAACTGGGCCTAGGCGGATCGTAGCTTTCCCCAGTAACGTAGAACAGCCAAACCCAGGGGGATGATCCACAAGTTGACAAAGGCGACACGGGTATCCGGCGAAGCCTTTGGGCGAAAGCTTTAACAATATAAACAAAAAACAAACTACTCATTTCAGGCTTTTTCAAGTGTTCCTTATTCTTCTTCCGTGTGTCTTTTCTTTCCATCGTTCTTTCTTTGTTTCCTTCTTTGTTTCTTTATTACTTTCTTTCTTCCTTCCTTTCTTTCTTTCTTTACTTTCTTTCTTTCTTTGTTTCCTTATCTATAGGGTCTGTGTCAAGGTAAGGTGCTCGAACTGCGAAGTTTGGACGGGGTCTGATTTGAGGTGTGATTTGGGGTATGGTTCGCAGGCGCTGAAACTCCTTTTGCAACACTAGCTGCGCTGACGATCTGTCGTTGGCAAAACACGTTGTTAGTGGCACAGGGTCACGCACTAGCCAAGGTATGGTTCGACATTACACCTGCCACAAAGTCTGTGAAGGCACTCCACCTAAAGTTTTGAAACATTCAGCCAAGGTCTGGAGCCGAACGAACTCGGTAACTGACACGCCCGCCCTTGATCCCACAGCCGTGTCCTGGTTGCAGGCCGTGGCTGCAACCACAGGCAAGGGGCCGCTCTCACCTTTCTCAAGAAAAGCAGAACCGCAACCTTCACCACGGGCATAGCCGTCGGCAGAAGCGTTAAAGGTCTTGCAGCGGCCATCCGGGGACAGCATGTGAGCCTGGCCGACAGCCAACACACTACTTCTCCTTTGAACAAAACCTCAAGTTGCCCGCGCTTGCCGGAAGTGAAAACTTTCCAACAGGGTATTTGTCATTTCTGGCCCCTCTAGGCACACCTTGCAGGGCACTATGAAGGGCTCTGCGATGAGGTTCAGCTGCACAGCAGTGCCTGAGCAGGAGAGGAGGGGGTGTCTTGGAGGAAACAAGACACCTGATAGCCTGAGCTGCAGGGGGTTGAATTCTCGAGCTTTGGATGCTAAGAACAACGCAGCATCACAGGATTGCTCCGCTAGATTTTGAACAGCGCGAGCGCAGGCAAATGCTGCGATCCTTGTGGCCAATCAAATATCATCCTTTCTGAATCGAGCATGGTGACCACGAAAAGATGAGTTGGGAGCCGTCCTTGTTTTTTCCCGATTTTCTTCCAGAAAGGGGTGTGGGGTCGGCATGCGCTTGCCAGATGCGCCGCTGCGTTGTTAAGACTCCACACGCCCTCGCTAGCGGTCGCAGGTGGCGCAAGTTGCAGCACGGTTGGGGAAGGCTCAGTATGTGCGATTCGTATGCGATAGTGAACTGGTGCGCGCTTTGTTGCTGCGCCTATGTAAACAGGGCTGTGGCTGTAAAATGCTCCCTGCTTGAGGAGGCTTTTGGGAAGCCAACATGTTTACTCTGGACGCATACGTGGTAAGAAATCGTGGCAAGCCTCTTTGAGGCCATCTTTCAGAGAAAAAAAGAGGGAAAAAGCATAGACCAAGGTAACGAATTGGATGTGATGATGTGGTTCTCTCATTGGTGCGTTTCCTCTCGAAAAAGTAGAAGGGGCAACTGAAAGAGTTCTAAAGCACTAAAGCGGGCTAGAAGCCCTTTGTAAACTCCACGCACTTTAGAACACGCCCCGATGGCCCAGGCGCAGAGGGCCGCCGAGAGCCCGAGCCCGGAGAGCTCGGCGCAGGCAAAGTGCAGGGCCACCAGCGCTGAAGAGCAGGCGGTGTCCACCGAGGCGCTGGTGCCCCGCAGCCCCAAGCTGTAAGAAATCCGTCCGGAGGAAATGGACCTGCGGTCGGTTTCCGGTCGTCACCTCTGCAAGCTTAATGGTGACAACTGATTAGTAAACCGCCCCCCCCCCTTCAAGGTTGACAAGGTTTGGGCAAGTCCCAAAAAATGAGATTTAGGGGGGGACCCCCTGATTACTCTGGAGCCCCTTCGGTCCTCGTCCTCTTACTTCTGGTCCCTTCGGGGCAGTAGGACTTTAAAAGGCAACAGCATATTTTTTTGTTTTGAGCCCAACAGGGCCCTGATTAATCGCGGGGGGTTTTCTGTTAATGAGGGGGGACTGGCCTCCAAGGGGGGTCCCCTTTGTGAGCTTGAAAACCTTGTCAGTTTAAACAAAAGGAAAAATGGGTTCAATCGTGACTTAGTACTGGTGGGTTTAAGCACAGACTCAGCAAATACTAAGCAAGCCTTTCTGGCAGGTTTTGTTGGCTTGGGGGCTGCAAAGGGATACCTTTAATCAGGGGGGGTTTTGGGGAGGGCTCAAAAATTATTGGCTAGGTTTTTTTTGGAACTTGTTGGCCCTTTACTGTAGTGTTGGTTGGAACCTGGGGGGGAAAAGGGGAAACCTTTAATCGGGGGGGGTTTACTAATCGTCTCCTGACATTACGCTTCATTTCAGCGGCAAGAATCCGAAAGCCGGAGCTGCCTCTATTTCTGTGAGTGGACCCGGTACTAGACTCCTGACAGGCCTTCTAAGGTGGTACTTTGACCACTTCCCTTTTCTTTGAAAAATCTAAAATTAAAGATTTAATTTCGCCTTTGAAATTTGCATTGACACATCCAGACTACGATTTTGACGGCTTTTGCGCCCAGTATAGGCGGGATCCCGTTTGGACGCGGACCGTAGTGAAAACTCCCCTGAGAAACCCCCCCCCTGGTACAGTACCCTAATGATACATTGCAAGTTCTTGACAAAGAACAATGAAGGGGGCGCCGCTAGGAAGCTAAGAGTCCACAAAAACGCGCGACAAGACGAGCCCCTACTCAAAGCATGAAACACGACCCCCCCTTTTGCCACCTTTGACACGTGCAGCGCAGGCACGCGTGGGTGCCTGGCCCGGAGTAAGGCGTCGGGATGAGATCCAAGGAGAACTTGGCCCAGTCGTTGTTGCACTGCCCGACAAAGACCCCGGTGTTGGATCCCAAAAGCCAGCGCTTGCTGCGACCGGCATGGTGGCAAGCGATATACGACCTGCCATGGTTAGAAGAAAGCTAATTCAGTTGGGCAGACACTGAAAGATGTGATTCTGAGCTAGGCTTGAGACCTTTGGTGTCATTGATTCATGTTGTGCATTGCTCATGGGCACCATTGAAACAACAGTTCCGGCACACCAACCAATGACCAAATCCTCGGCTAGGAAGCCATGCCCCTGGCAGAAAAGAGCACCACTTGCTGGGTTGCTCGTAAAATGGAGGGATCCAAAATCCTCATCCGTAATCCTTTGTCAAACACCACTATAACAAGGGAAACCATTGCAACCTGGTAACCACTGCCGCAAGCATCTTGCGTATTGGTTTTGGCCCATGCTTGATCTGAGCTTTGCAGCCCAGTGGCATTTCCAGCGCCATGCGCTGCTGGGGATCAATGCACTTCACCTGGGGGCGTGCCCTTCTTTTCAGTGACGTTCATGTAGGTGTGCGTGCGCGTGCTGTTGTTAGGAACACGAGTTCAGGGTGATTTTAAGTTGACACTGGAGGGAACCCAAAGGAAAAACCTTTCTGGGGCCGTGGGTGAGCAACCCCCCCACCTCTGCAGGAGACATTCCGAAGAACCCGCAGTCAAAGAGCTCGGCTCCGTCAACAAAGCCGCCGTGCCGGACGTACATGACGTTGCCCGCCGCCTGCAGGACGCACGTCCCAGCCCAAAAGTTGTAAACGTGTGGAGACGTGTTCGGTGACAATGACAGGGCCTGCGTACAAGCTCCAAAGAGATTCGGCGTCCGGATGTTTCAAGGATATCCGGCAAGTACACAAAGGCTATGGCTATTGGATTTTTGAATGCCCGAGCCCGCTACGGGGATCACCAAGTTGCCGTTTCCAACGCTCCGGAACTTGAAACTTGACATCTTTCGACTTGCGGTTGCCCCGGGACCCTCTGAAAGGACAGACGATGCCAAACGCACGCGACAGAGAAAACATCTGCCACTGCTTGGTGGCCTTTGCAAATACCACGAGAGCCCTTTGCAACCCTAAAGATTCAAAAGATCAAGTTTATCTGTCACCTCAGTTCCCGCAACAGCCCCGATTCACATCGATTCACTCAAGCAGGCAAACCGGTTCCTGTGGACATTTGGTCTTCCTTAATCCGCCTCGACACCTTGAAGAATTCTTATGGCCTCTTGGTGATGAAGTTTGAGAAGCCCCTCGGGCCTCCGCATCTGCATCGTAGACCTCGTGGAGGTCAAACCGCGCATAGGGGATTTGAATGATGGCATCTTTGCTTTCCAGCCATTGGGACCAGCACTCGTCAAGGCCCCAACCACTTGGTAGGTGGCAAGCAAGGCCGTGCACGGCAGTCGAGCCCGTGGATTGACGGGCGCTCACCTTGCGCGTGACCGCCTCCGGCTCGCCCGGCTGCGAGCACTGCGAGCGCACCAGCTCCGTGATGGCTGCGATGGTGGGGTAGTCGAACATGAGCGTCTTCGGGAACTTGAGGCCCTCGCCTTCGTCCACGAGGCGGTTCCGGAACTCGGTGGAGGACAAGGAGTCCTGAAGGCGCGGCTGTTCCAGGCACACCGTGTCACTAAGGCGGGTCAGTCCATGTGTCAATTCTCCTGGGTCCTCAAACTACTCTCCAACTAGACCACGGTTGGCCCGAAAGCAGAACATCGCAAGCGAGGTCGGCCCAACGCTGCAGGATGCGTTCTTTTTCCCTACACGAAGCATTCGTGAAGCAAGCGCGAGACAGCACCAGGCAAGGTGCTCTGCGCAAACTGGTCGGTGCAAGTTGGTCTGCGCAAGTTGCTCTACGCAAGTTGCACTGTGCAAGTTGCTCTGCGCAAGTTGCTCCGCGCAAGTTGTGCAACTTGCTCTGCGCAAGTTGCTCTGCGCAAGTTGCTTTAAAATGCAAGTTGCATCTTGCGACGCCCGCCCGCGGACCAGGGAGGAATCGAACCCGCGACCCGCCGGTTCCGGGAGCAGGCGCGCGAACCACGAGACAACTCCCGAGGACCAGTTCGAACAACAAAAGTCGCAAAAAACCTCGAGTTTTTGCACCTCGACCACGCCGATTCCCGCAGAGGGTTGCGCGAGCACCGCAGAAATCGCAAAAAACCTCGAGTTTTTGCACCTCGACCACGCCGATCCCCGCAGAGGGTCGCGCGAGCACCGCAGAAATCGCAAAAAACCATGGTTTTTTGCACCTCGACCACGCCGATCCCCGCAGAGGGTCGCGCGGGCATTTAGAAATCGCAAAAAACCATGGGTTTTTGCACCTCGACCACGCCGATCCCCGCAGAGGGTCGCGCGAGCATGTTAGAAATCGCAAAAAACCATGGGTTTTTGCACCTCGACCACGCCGATCCCCGCAGAGGGTCGCGCGGGCACTTTAGAAATCGCAAAAAACCATGGGTTTTTGCACCTCGACCACGCCGATCCCCGCAGAGGGTCGCGCGAGCACCGCAGAAATCGCAAAAAACCATGGGTTTTTGCACCTCGACCACGCCGATCCCCGCAGAGGGTCGCGCGAGCACCGCAGAAATCGCAAAAAACCATGGGTTTTTGCACCTCGACCACGCCGATCCCCGCAGAGGGTCGCGCGGGCAGTTAGAAATCGCAAAAAACCATGGGTTTTTGCACCTCGACCACGCCGATCCCCGCAGAGGGTCGCGCGAGCACCGCAGAAATCGCAAAAAAAACCATGGGTTTTTGCACCTCGACCACGCCGATCCCCGCAGAGGGTCGCACGGGAACTTTAGAAATCGCAAAAAACCATGGGTTTTTGCACCTCGACCACGCCGATCCCCGCAGAGGGTCGATTTTCGTGTAGTGTCGTCGGCACTACCCCGCCGCCCTAAGAAGAGATTTTAACTCCTCGCAAGTCAATTGCACTTGACTCCTTGCGCTTGCAACTTGCACTTGACTCCTTGCTTGCAAGGAGTCATTGCAAGGAGTCATTGCAAGGAGTCATGGCAAGGAGTCATTGCAAGGAGTCATTGCAAGGAGTCATTGCAAGGAGTCATTGCAAGGAGTCATTGCAAGGAGTCATGAGAGCCATTGCAAGTTGCAAGGAGCCAAGTGCATGGAGTCAAGTGCAAGTCGCAAGTGCACGGAGTTAAGTGCAAGTTGCAAGTGCAAGGAGCCAAGTGCAAGGAGCCAAGTGCAAGGAGCCAAGTGCATGGAGTCAAGTGCAAGTTGCAAGTGCATGGAGTCAAGTGCAAGTTGCAAGTGCAAGGAGTCAAGTGCAAGTTGCAAGTGCAAGGAGTCAAGTGCAAGTTGCAATCCTTGCCATGACTCCTTGCAATGACTCCTTGCAATGACTCCTTGCAATGACTCCTTGCAATGACTCCTTGCAATGACTCCTTGCAATGACTCCTTGCAATGACTCCTTGCAATGACTCCTTGCAATGACTCCTTGCAATGACTCCTTGCATGATGACTCCTTGCAATGACTCCTTGCATGACTCCTTGCACTCCTTGCAATGACTCCTTGCAATGACTCCTTGCAATGACTCCTTGCCATGACTCCTTGCCATGACTCCTTGCAATGACTCCTTGCCATGACTCCTTGCAATGACTCCTTGCAATGACTCCTTGCAATGACTCCTTGCAATGACTTTCATGATGATGATTCCTTGCAATGTCCTTGCAATGACTCCTTGCAATGACTTTCATGATGCTGATTCCTTGCAATGACACCTTGTAATGACTCTCATGAGAACAACTCAAGTGAACCCAGCGGAAGAACCCTTCGCCATGCTTTCGGGAAAAAAACGGGGCGTTGCCTCAACATTGCAAGTGACCTGGACTCACGCGCATGTGCGCATTCGCAGTTGCTGCAACACCAGCCCCCAGCGCAAACCCAACATCAGCCTGTCACGCGCGCATGCGGGCACCAGCGTAACGCGCAAGTTGATCAATAAGCAATGACCATCATGACTCCTGCGCGCATCCCGCAAGTTCACAGCAAGTAGGTCAAAGTCACCGTCAAAGGGAAACAACCCCATTTACTGACTTTCATAACCCCAAAACCATCAAAATAACGACCTCAGGGCAATCAGGCCAACTTCTGTGAAGGACATCTGGTGCACATCTCTAGCTCTTCAACCTTGAGAAACAACTTCAGCGCAGACCTCTACATCTGCAACTGGTGTCTACCAGCTGGTAATAGCAACACGCAGAACAAAGGCAAAGCAAAAAAGGCACGCAGCGCGCCGAACATCTTATAAGGACACCATGCGCAACATGAAGATCGATCAAAGCAGTGAGCCAAGAATCCATGCCGGAGGCCATGAGCGGCGCATCCGCTTCGATGGCATGGCCCACGATGCTGGCTGCCACGGCGCTGATCCATTCCCCTGCAGCCTCCATTCGAGCGCTGCCTACAGAGAGCTCTTTGCTGGTTGGCGTGAAAAGCTGCATCCTGGGAAAGCAAGAGCTGACACCCTCCAGAAGCACCACAAGCTGGCCCTGCTCATCAAATATCTCCACATCGGAGCAAAATGGAGAGTGGGAGCGCACCAATACACCAGCCCAAAGTTGCTCAGACGCTGTTGAAGAAACCACTGCCCGGCTGATGGCCCCTGGCAGGCAGGCGGGCTGGCCGTAGTGAGCACTCGCCAAAGCCACCAGTTGGAAAGCTCCATCCAGCAGTGCCGGGTGCAAGAGCTGCAAAGCCATCTCCCAGCTGCTGCGTGGCGGATCCCTCAGCTGTGCCAGGAACATGTTTCCCTCCGTTGCGCTCTTGCCCATCTTCACGTTGCTCAAGGTCTGGAAAGCCTCGCCGTAGTCCAAGCCTTGCTCTTGCAGCTGCTGGTACACGCCCTCCACCTGGCAGTCGCACGCCTCCTGCCATCCTCGGAGCCTTTGGATTCTGGACTGCCCGAGCGACACCCGCTCGCAAGGCCCAAACCTGGCATACACGGAGCCATCGCCACCCACCTCCGTGTAGCTCTGGTGCGCGGTGCATTGCACCTGGCCCTCCATCATGGCCTGCTCAAAGCTCACGTTTGCGAATTCCACGGCGGCCGAGGCTTCAAGGCGCAAGTGCGCTGCCACGGCGAGCAGCAAGTGGCTGGCGTTGGGCACCACAACTCGCCCGCCGACCTTGGGGAGAAAAAACCGTTTGCAACATGGGGCTTGCCACTTGCTCTCAAACGGCAAACTGCCTCCGGCCTGGTGCTGTCGGAAGAGCCGCATCCGCTGGCTGTCAGGACCCATGGCTTCTCCGCTGAGCGTAAAGCAGTTCCCATTCTGCCGCCCCAGCAGCGGGTGGAGCAGGGACCGCACAGGCTTCAAAGGCTGGGGCCGGTCGCAAGACAAGACCCCCAGCTCCCGGGCGCAGTGCAGCATGCTGTCAGCCTGCGGGCTGGGATTGCGAGTGATGCCAAGGCTCCCACAAAACGAACACCGCAGCCAAAACGCGGCAACGCATTTTGACCAAATGCGCCTCATCGGCCTGCAACGAACTGAGCCACAGCTTCTCGGGGTTGATGCGCCGGCCCATTTGTGTCAGAACTGGTTGAGGCCCCAACTCCAAAAAAGCATCGCACCCCATGGCAATCAGCTTCTCCACGCCGCGCCAGAAAAGCACGGGCTTCGCCTGGTCTTGGCCCAACCAATGCTGGACATCCAGGAGCTCCTGGGAGGCCTCGTTTCCCGTCAAGCACGAAACAAACTGCACCTTGGGCAAGCTCAGCTTGCAGGACGCGAGGACGTCCCCCAGCTCCGGGAGAATAGGGGCCATCAACGGAGAATGCATCGCACGAGGAATGCGCAAGGCCGTGCTCTTAGCGCCAAGCTTCTGACAAAGCAGCTGCACGGCGGCCTTGTGCCCAGATATCACTGTTTGCTCTGGCGTGTTTATAGCTGCGATCACCGCCGCGCCCGGCAGGTCGGTAAGCTCACGTAGCGCGTTCCTGGGGCTATCACTTTGGTGAGTGACAGAGGTCAAAGCAAAACCAACCCTGTCAGTGAGCACAACACACCCAAGCAGCACCAACCCTCACACGCCATGCTGTGTATCGAATATTCCACTCTGAGTGCATGTTTGCCGAAACCTGGCTGAGCAGTCACAAGCACGCTTTTACGCAATACTTGGCCAAACATGGTACGTCTTCATTGGCGGCTCATAAGCCGCATAAACCTGTGTAGATCCAGGGGCGCAAAGCTCCAAGTGATCTTGCTGAATTTCACAAGGCACTTGTCCAGCATAAAGCAAATCTTATCGCCCACAGCTTTGGGGCTGCATGTCGCAAGCGGACTCGAAGTTTCCAACAATGACACGTTGCCAAAAGCTTACATTCCAGGATCCCAGCCTGCTATTAAATTGATTCAGTCTTGCAATTAGCCCGGAGGACTAACAAGCTAACGTTGTAGTGTTTCACCACATCCTGGACGCCAATATGGACTCGTAGAACATGGAACAAGGGAGCATAACGCGAATCTAGCACGACATGCCCCTTAGTTGCGCCCAGCTTCTCCACAGCCACGCTCGAAGCTTTCAGCGAAACCATCTCGCCATCGCTGGGCAGCTTGTCAAGAAGCTCGCCGCGCTTTGCCAGCACTCGCCTCAGACGGCATGAGTCCATATTGGGTTGCCTGCTAAATTCAAACTCCACGCTAGAACGCAACTGCAACTCCCCAAACACTGGCTCCAACTAAGTGGAAAATGGCAACAGGGCCACAACCAACCATTGGCTTCGTGACCCTCTGGCTTCGTGATAGTCAAGCAAGGAAAAATCCTTTCCCTAAAGGTTAGAAGCGCAACCAAGTAAATGGAATCCTAAGTTCCCAGTCACAAGGCATCCTCCAAGGAGAGGACGCCGGCAACCACTGCAGCAGTGTATTCCCCAAGACTGTGACCCAGCACGGCGAAGGGCTGCAAGCCCCGGGCCCGCCAGGCCTCGCTGAGGGCAAACTCCAAACAGAAAACCCCCAGCTGCGACAGGACGCTCGACCTTACTCTCGCAGCGATCTCTCGCCTCTCTCGCCTCGCTCTCTTGCCGCGGTCACCATGCGCAAACCAGGGTTGCTAGGCTGTGATGGGCGATTTTTTTTGAACGCAACGGAGCAGGTTCTGACTTGGAAGCCATGGTCTCAGAAAACCAGAAACAAGGCAAGGGAATTAAATGTGTTGCGCAACGCATTGAGGGCCCCCTAACCCTAAGCCCTGGCCGGAGGTGACAAGGAGCTGGTCGTAGCGCTGCATCGCTTCTGGTGAGAAAAGGACCTCCATGAGGTCCAAGGTCCCTTCCAAAAGCCGAGCGCAACGGTCCAAGGCCATCTTGAAAGCCTCGTCCTGGTGGTAGAGCTCCTTCCCCATCCCGGGCAGGTGGCTGCCCATGCCCGTGAACAGCAAGGCCACTCGTCTGGGCACGGACTTCGGCTGAGGTGCTCTGAGCAGAGCGTGTGAGTTGGTGCCTCCAAACCCGAAGGAGGACACGCCCATCGCCCCGTTGACATCACTGTGCTCAGCAATCGCCAACCTGCCCGCGTCTCATCTCTTAGCAAAATAAGACAAGCGTGTGTTCGCTTCCATTCCCTATTCCCTGCCTGGAGCCAAGGAAGATGTGGGGGTTCAACTCCTTGAAATGGATGTTGGGCGGCACCTGTCGGAACTTCAAGGCGGCCGCCACCTTCATCAGCCCCGCGAAGCCAGCAGCGGCCTCCAAGTGCCCGTGGTTGGACTTCGCAGCGCCCAGATACAAAACACGTTCAGTCACCAACGCGTTTTTCGCGGAGCGGACTGAGTGGATGGCCCCAACTTCGATGGGGTCCCCCAGAGCCGTGCCAGTGCCGTGACACTCCAAGGCCCCCACCTCATCCGAGTCGAGGCCTGCCGAGCCCAGCGCGGAGCGCAACAGCAGCGCCTGGCTGGGGCCGTTGGGCGCGGTCAGCGTGGCGCTCTTGCCGTCCTGATTGGTGGCCACAGCGCAGAGCTCCACGCCAGGCCCGTGCCTGAGACGTCCATGAAAGTGATAACCAGCCGAGAAAGCAGCTTTGAACTCAGAGGTGAGTAGTTATTGAGAACCCCCTCAGAAAGATTCGCTCGCACTAGGTGGAGCCTTTGTGGGCCGTTTGGTGCGGGACGTGATGTTTTGCCCACAGTCGTTTGCCTGAGCAGCACTGCCCCAGCGCCCTCCCCACGGATGTAACCGTCAGCAGTGGCATTGAATGTCTTGCAGCGGCCATCTGGGGAGAGCATACCGGCAACAGAGCGAATCATCAGGCTACCGGCACCGAGCATCACATCTGCCGCCGCCACTATTGCTGCCTGCACCAAGCCACCCATGCCACCCGTTCGGTTCGACTCCAGGGACCACACGGCAGCATGCAAGGCTGCAAGCGAAGAAGAACAGGCTGTGTCCACTGCCATGCTGGGACCCTTGAGGCCTAAGCTCTGCCCCGCGCCGCCCTTTCTCGGCAAGTCCCGTAGTGAAAAGTGAAACGCCGAGACTTGAGATTCGTTGGGAATAACTATGTGTTGCATAAAAAGAAAAATGAAACAGTCCAAGAGATGTGTTGGATAAGTAGTACAAATCGAATACTAATTCATGCGTTGAATACGTCGAAACATACCAAAGTGTGAGATATGGTTTTGAATAAATCAGAAACAAGTGAAATACACTTTTCTACCATACAATGACATGTGCTTAACTAGCGAAAACATTATTCGAATAGTGAAGAAGAATAGTATGAGTTCTCTAAGTGTAAATTCAGGACGGTTGTCATAAAATAGCAAGGTTTATTTATATTTTGTAGTGTGAAAGCCGAACCGTACTGTTCAAACATTAAATATATTGATGACTACACCGTAGAAAACCATTGTTATGCAACTACATTGCTCTATGACTGTAATAACAGTACGGCTTGTCGTAAAATGCTTACTACATAAGAAACAAATGATGTCATGGTTTATGTCTATTAAATGAAATACAAAACAAACAACAAATCTAAACCATTCCAATATAACTAGAACACCGAAATATTCTTAAGTTGCCATATTCTAACAACTCAAAACCAAGTAGTGATACTAGTTCTTAGCTTGTCACCAAGGCTAACAGTGCAATGTTCCGTCTAGTTAGATTTTTACTTGCGTATCCTGTTCTCCACTAATGTCCGCTATGATGTTTGTATGTTGTGTCTGCTACTGGTGTAGCATGTTTGATGTTCGTTTATGTTCTGCTTTCATGTCCTCGTTACTTGTCTTCTTAATTTAGTAAACTCTTTGTTTTAATGCATCTATGGCATGTCTTTTCATGCTTATAATTGTTACGCATGCACGCATTAGGGCCTATTCTTGGGTCTCAGCTTGAAATCTAATGTTTGAACAACAAACTGGCTATGTCTGAATAGTTCTATGCAGAATGACATGCTTTTGGAACTGAATTGGTACTAATTTTCGTTGCGCACACGAATGATAGGAAACTGCATTCGGAAAGTATATTCTGGACGATAGTGGATTTCGTTTTACCCGAAAACAATGCTGCTACACTTGTTTTGAGTTAAGTTCTTCTAAAACTTCGTAAACCAGCTAATCTTAATGCGCGAAGGCCGTAAAGTTATTGCTTCAACTGTTCTTCGTAGACAAGATACGCCGGCTGGTGCTTTGGCTGGCGCTCACCTAATCATCTAGAGATGCTGCGCGCTCGTGCTTTTGCCAGGATATCACCTCATAAGCGCTTGCATGGTGAGAACTTGCGATCGATTGTGCTATTCTTTGGCCTTAAGATCTGTGAGCTTCATTCGACACTAACCACTAACTCAACATTTTTGTTGAGGCTAACATCCGGCTAGTTAAGGGGGTATGGTATAACTTCAATATACATACATTGCAGTCCTCAGAAAATAAGTTGGACCCACCCAAGCCTTCGGCTTAGGTTAACGAGCGTTGCCTCTCGCTGGTGTGTGAGTTTCGCCATTAATCCCTTCATCCAAAAAAAGGGGATCAATGCCCTGTTGTGTATCGTTCTCTAAAAATAACAACAAAAATTACCGGCAGAGACCCCAAACAGTTGAGGACTGACGGGCAAGCACAAACATGCCAACAGCTTGTGGCTTTCTGCGCTTCAACACGGATGAGTCAGAATGATGCAGTTGTGAACCTGGCACGCGCTGCGTTGCTGCACGTGCGTCGCTGGCGTGATTCGCGCTTCAGCACCGCGCCAGAACTGAGGTTGGGCAAGCGCGTGCGAAAACGGGCGACCCCGCGCGCGCGCGAACGCAAGTGCGGCTGTCACACGGGCGGACACACATGTCCAATTCAATCACACATGTGCGCACACGCGGAACACACATGTGTACGACTGAAACAGTACACGCGGCACACGCAGATGCGCACCCGCGAACACACGCATGTACATTCACCTGCGGCACACGCATACATGTGTTGAGCTGGAAAACAAACATGTGCTTCTTGGAAAGCACACACACATGTGTACATGTGTACACCTGGAACACACACATGCGTTCAACTACGACACGCTCGTGCGCGCACGTGGAACACACATGTGTGTTCACTTGGAACACGATGAAACGCATGTCCAACTCAAACACACGTGCGTGTGCACACGCGGAGCACACATGTGTTCACCTGGAGCACAAACACGTGCAACTCAAGCACACATCTGCGTACACTTGGGGCACACATATGTCAATGTCTACCACTGGAACACACATATGTGTCCAGGAAAACCGCGTATGCGATTAAACCACACATATGTGTACACGTGGAACACACACATGTGCACACGTGAGCAAACATAAACGCTCACCTAAAGCGCGCACATGTGCGCACCTCGATAACAATCATGCGTTTTCTGGAGCACATACACGCGCACACCTGGAGAGCAAATATGCTGCGAGATCCAAAAATGTTCGCCTAGCACATATTAATTTGTTCACTTGGAACACACAAATGCGAACACGTGAACACACATATGCGCACACGTGAACACTCACATCTATGTGCACCCGGAACACACACACACACACCCGTGCGCTCATCTGATAACAAACATGTGTTCTCCTGGAACACACACACACGTGTCTGATAAGAACACACATGTGTGTACAAATGAACACACATATGTGTACACGCGCAACACGCATATCTGTACACGTGAACACACATATGTGTACACGTGCAACACACATATGTGTACACACGAACACACACACATATATAGATACAATTATATATGCGCACCCGGAACACGCATACACACACACACACACACGCGCGTGTTCATCTGATAACAAACATTCCTGGAACACGCACGCACGCGTACACCTGGAACACATATGTGCGTGTATGTCTGGAAAGCACATTTCTGTTCACCTGGAACCCATACATGTGCTCACTTGGAACAGTCATTTGCGTTCACCTGCAACACTGGTGCAGACCTGGATCTCACACAAACATGAAAAACCAGAACAAACTTCTGTCTTGACTTGTTACACACATATTGGTACACATGGAACACACGTGTGCGCACATGTGGGGAAACATGTGCAACACAAATGCGCAACACCCGAAGCCGGCTGTGAGGCGCTATTCCATGGGGCTCTGCCTTGAACAACGCTTGTGTTCTATACGCATGTTCCAAGTAGGAAAATCGTGTTCGTGCGCGATCAATCTACTTTATCATATCGTGGACTCTTCGTATCGATTCAGTGAAGCATTTGCTTTCGCTGGGAAATATGCAACCCTAGGCGAGTCACTTTAAAGGAATTTAGAACCCCTCACAGTAAACTGTTTGGGGGAAAAGGAATGCAGTACGTAATAACATGGTAGTTCATTGAAAAACAAGTATTATATTGATAGCATGTGTATATATATATATACATACAAAATATATATGTCAAAAGCCTCTCATTTAGCAGCCAATGCTGCAACCAAGCACTATGATTGCATTGCGTAAGGGCATCTCTTCAAGGAAGCGCTCTGAAAGCTGAAAAACTAAAAAAAAACTGAAAACGTAAAAAAAAATGAAGAATCAAGGATTCAGGGGGACATGGGGAGTAATGAAGGTGAATACTAGTGGAAAACTGAAAATATTGCTTATGTTATTTGATTGCAATTTGTTTTTAAAAAGAACTGAAGAAAAAAACTGACAAAACCGAAAAAGAAAGAAAAAAACCTAGCAAACTGTCTAGTAGCCCCCCGTCCACCCACACGCCTGGGGGGGGGGCCTAGTATTTTCTGAGTATTCCCCTAGTATTGCCCCAGTGCCCTAACCAGGAAACCTGACAGGACAGATTGAGCTTGAGAGTATAGCCCTTGTATTCCCTCAGCATTCCCCTAGCATTCTCCTAGTATGCTCCTTTAATATTCCCCTAGTCTTCCTTGAGTATTTCCCTAGTATTGCCCTAGTATTCCTTTAGTATTCTCTTGGTATGCCCCGAGTATTTCCTAGTAAGGGAAGGGGAAGACCTAAGGGAATACCTTCAGTATTGCACTAGTATTCCTTTAATATTATCTTGGAATACCCCCAGTATTCCCTCAGAATTCCCCTAGTATTCTTGCAGTGTTCACGTTTAATATTGCCCTAGTATTTCCTTAGTATTGCCCGAGGATTGCCCTAGTATCCCCCTATTATTGCCCAAGTATTCACTCAACTTAGTATTCTCTTGGTATACCCCTGAAACTTCCTCACTGCTCCATAGTACTCCCTTGCTATTTCCCCTAGTAAAGGGATGGAGGGGAATACCTTTAGATATTCTCTTGGTATACCCCTAGTATTCCTTCAGAATTCCCTTAGTGTTCTCCTAGCGTTCACCTTTAATTTTGCCGTAGTATTCCCTGAACATTTCCGTAATATTGCCCTACGATTGCCCTAGTATTCCAATATTTGTGCCCTAGTATTCAGCTAATTTAATAGTCTCTTGGTATACCCCTAGTATTTCCTCAATGCCGCATAGTATTCCCTTGCTATTTCCCCTAGTAAAGGGATGGAATTACTAGGGGAATACCTTTAGTATTGCGCTGGTATTCCTTAAGTTAAGTATTCTGTTGGTATACTCCTAGTATTCTCTCAGTATTCTCCGGGAATTCTTCCAGCACTCAGCTTTAGTATTCCCCTAGCACTTCCCTGGTAGTGCCCTAGTATTGCCCCAGCCAGGAAGCCTGAGAGAAGTCAAACAGATTGAGCATTCCCACGTGTTATCCTAGTATTCACCTTTGATATCGCCCTAGTATTCCCTGAGTATGTACCTAGTATTGCCCTAGTATTCCTTTAGTGTTCTCTTGGTATACCCCTAGCGTTTCCTCACCACCCCGAGTGTTCCCCAAATATTCACTGCTAAAGGAAGGGGAATATTAGGGGAATACCTTCAGTATTATCCAACTATCTGAGCAGCTAAATGGATAACTAACTAGCTAGCTAGTTGGCTGACGAATTAGCTTATATACTTGCTGACTGTTTGATTGACTAACTAGTTGAACTTGCCAACACTTACTGCCTGAACTTGAAAAATATGCGTTTCACAGCGGCGTAAATACACATGTTTCTCAGAAGTAGCACGTTTCCAATGATTTTGGCAATTGTCCAGGTTCAAAACCTGGGTTTTGGAGGGGGGTAGAATATATATATATATATATGTTTGCATACTAATTCAAAACATAGCTTACGTATTCAATTGGAACAAATACGTCGTTTGAAAACTATGAATTGGACTAGTCATTCCAAGATCATAATGATAATAATCACATGTTCGATTTAATGAAAAGCGCATACCTCAATGTGTATGGTTATACTTATTCATCAAATGAACTAGAATAATACATTTCACTTGTTGTCTACTTGTTCAAAAAACTATTAGTACTAAAAATAGGTCTCGGCATTTCACTTTTCGCAAATAAAGGCATTTTTTCTCCCGGCAACGCTCACCAAAACACAAACGCAAATCGCAAACCGCAAACCGCAAACCGCAAGTTGGACAAGCCTGACAAGTCTGACAAGTCCGAGTGGCCAAAAACATAGCTGATCCGGTTCGCTGCAATGGCACTCGAAATGCCAGGGCCGGTATAAACGCTGGCTTCCGAGACAGCAAGCTGGAACCCGTCCAAACTGACAGCAGCGAAAACGCTCAAAGGCCTGTTTATCAATTCCCCTCTGGTGAAGCAATCTGCCCTTAAAGCTTCTTCGCTTGCAACCAGGACCAGGCATTGCTGAGGAAGCATAGCCTTCGCCTTGCAGGATCACAGTGAAACAAAGTCCGTGCGCCACGCGCCTGCCCCCCAAAATGCATTTTGAAGGTCCTCAGCACTTTAATGGTTTTTGGTATGAGACTGAGGTTGGTTTTAGGTGGGCTTCGGGTGAGTTGGAGTTGATTTTTGCTTTGGCCTCTTCAGGCGTGCTGTAGGGCTTGCTTTGGGTGTGCTTCGGGTTTATGGTGGGGCTTGAGGGGTTGGTTTTGGGCGGGCTTCAGGCGCTTTTAGAATGGGTTTGGTGTGAGTTCAAGCTTTGTATACTTCAAACTTTGCTTTGGTGTCTTGGGTTTACGTTGGTCGCATGGTGGTTTGGACTTGGTTTTGGGTTTGTTTCGGCTACAGCGGCTACAGAGGGAACAAAAGCCAGAAAAGCAAGAAGCACAAACAAGTTCTGAGACTCCAAGCTAAAAGCCACAGGAACCACAAAAGCGGCCAACCCGACCAAAAAGAACAACCAAACAAACAGAAACAGAACCGGAAAAGAACTCAGCTCTTCTTGGGAATTCGCATGCTGGGAGCCATGGGCCTCACGCTCGCGAACCTCACCTTAAGTTGGTTCGGGCCTCTGCTATCCCAAGGCCAAAGTAGTTGGTGTCAATCAAGTCAATGCCTTCGATGAAACCGCCATGGCGGGCGTAGGTCTTTCCTCTTGGGGCCTCGGCCGAGTAGTACAAATCATGATCCCAGCGCAGCAAAGGCACTTCTTGAACCGCATCGTGTTCTTCTGTGAGAAGACGCCAATATGCATCCAGGCCATCGGCGCCAGGAACTCTGCAAGAGCTCGAGGTGACGAATGGGTTGCGGTTGTCTGGCCGAGCCACCAGCACTGGTTCCCTGGTCCCGGACTCAGAAATTGTCCAAGCCATGTCGTTGATGGTGGGATGATCGAAGGCCAGAGTTGCCGGTAGCTGCGTGCCTAGGCGAGCTCCAAGAAGGCGTGCCAGGGACAAAGCCCCAGCAGAGCTTAGGCCCAAGTCCATCAAGGGCCTTTCTGCCTGCACCCACGACGCGGGCGCATGTAAGACTTCAGCCGCAACCTCAGATCTCAGATCGCATGGGTTGATGTGAATTTCTGCATCCCTTCCCACCCCACCCGTCCCAACCACCCATGCCCCAATCAAACTTGAATCTCTGGCGTTGCGCGCCTCACAAAACTGGACCATGCCAGCCGCCCTCCCGACCATTCTACGCCAAGCATCCTGACCATCCCGAGCACCCCGACAGTCTCGACCATCCCAACCATCCAACCATCCAACCATCCAAACATCCCCACCGCACCGACCCACCTTCAAGCCATGCTGAACCAACCCCCGTCTATTTCACGCAATTGCGTTCTGAATTTTGTTTGTCTGAATATCGCTTCTATTTCTGAAAGCCGCTTCGCCGCCCCGCCTCCTTGATCAAATCGACCAACGCAGACCCCCAAGGCATGGCTGTATGATCCTTGAGCTCAACACTCTCCCTGTTCTCCTGCGCTCACAAAGTCTCAAACACAGCGAGGACAAACATCAGAAACATGGCTCACTCCTGCGCCATGACCGGCCCGCACAAGGGGCCAAATTGCACGGCGTGGAAACGGAGTAAATAGCCAGGGGACTCCAAACCACAAATGGCTTCGCACAACCGGCACAAGTGACTAGCCTACAACCAAACTTTCCTTTGGCAGAGCGAGGCCTTCCAAACGAAACTCGCCTGCCCTTTTGCAACAAATGCGCCACTGTGATTTACAGAACAAACCCTGACATGCCCAGCTTCTCTTGCTTAAAGTTTTCTGACCGTCTGGGGACACTTGCAGCGAACCCTGAAAAAAGCACGCTGCAGCCAATGAAGCCGCCCTTGCCCCTTTCGCCGCAAGACAATATCTCCGTCTCCATTGGGCCAGCGTGCGGTTTTGCTGCACTTCGCACAGATCGCTCGCGCGCCACACGCAAAATTGGCCTTTGGCCCTGGATTGAAATCAGCAAGTAGGAATGCTACACGGTAGGTTCGAGATGCCGAACCTGACGGAAAGTGGATCACACTCTGCCGAACCTGACGGAGCGCCGAACGCACGCTTTGGCGACAACTTCGCGGAAATCACGGCCTTGAGGTGAAGATGCAGACTGAGACTGTAGCCTTGGAGTTGAGCTGGAGCCACAAGAATGGGAACTAAAAACCTCTTCCAGGGAACATAAGCCTTTTGACCCCTTCTCCCAGAAAATGTGACTACACTAATTGAGGGGCTCTAGCTGCAAGAGTCAGGCATTGTATCTAGATCGGGGCGCCGCGTGAATCGCTCATTTCGACTGCTCTGGATGGATGGATGGATAGATAGATAGATAGATTAGATTAGATTAGATTAGATTTAGATTTAGATTTAGATTTAGATTTAGATTAAATAGATAGATAGATAGATAGATAGATAGATAGATAGATAGATAGATATAGATAGATAGATATAGATAGATAGATAGATATAGATAGAAAGATAGATAGAAATATAGATTAGAACAAACTAGACTAGATTAGATTAGATTAAATTAGATTCGATAGGTAGATAGATGGAAAGATGGATAGATGGATAGATGGATAGAATGGTAGGTAGATCTATCAAAATGAACAAGAGGGATAGATAGATAAGTAGATAAGATAGAATAGAATAGAATAGGATAGAGTAGAAGAAAAGAGATTATAATAGAACAGAATAGAATAGAATAGAATAGAAAAGAATAGGAAAGACTACTACAAAAGAATAGAAAGAATAGAACAAATAGATAGATAGATGGATCGACAGATAGATAGATAAATAGGATTGGTAACATAGTTAAGGCAGGTAGACTCATAGATAGATAGATAGATAGATAGATAGATAGATAGATAGATAGATAGATAGATAGATAGATGTAAGAGAGTGATAAGCTGGAAATGCAAAATCACATTGACATTAGTCCGCCCCTGCAGCAAATCAGTTGGAACACTTTGGAAGCATTTAGCGCCCCTTGATCAGTTTTGGTTAATCCCCCCCCCCCCCCCGCTTTTGGGATTGCAACCAGACTCAACCACAAAACCATAGCAAATTACGGTGAAATAGAAGCTGCTTTCTTGCGATTATTGAAGCATCCACCATACAACCCCAGACTTTCGGGTCAACCCGTGGTAAGGCGCAGGCTAACAACTCCCTTCCGCCCTGCCAAATTTGTGGCAAGTGCGGAATCTTAGGTGAAGGTTGCTGGTTTAAGGTACAGGTCTTACCCGGCAAAGGTACCCTTCCAGAAAAGTTAGTTCGGTCAGCAAGACCAGTTGCTCGATCTTGGTGAAAAAAGGATACTGTATTGGGACCAGTACAATTGTTGTGAACCCACCCAGCCAAGGTCGCTGTTCAAACAAATGGGTCCTTGCCATTCTTTTAATAGACCCTAGGGAATTCGGAAGAACAACGTAATATAAGAGGCAACATAACTCCTACTAGTTTCCCCCAACCATGAAATTGATTTGATTTAAAAGTACACCATGACCAGGCTAATTCTTCGGGCACTGGGAAACAACTGTAGGTCAATCACCTTTTGTAGGTTAAAGGGAGAAGCCACTATCGCAAAGGTCTGTCGGGGGCGATTTGACACTGAGACCAGGTCTCTCAGCAGCCCACGGCCCAGACCTCAGGCGGAGTGCCGTGTCTCTAACCACCCGACACCCGTCTTTTTGGAACCGCAGCGTGGAAAACGGTGTGATACGAAAGCGGCTAACTACCATGACTTTGTCACCTTTGTTTTTGGGTTGTATCACACAAAATTAGCCTCACCATTCTCACCATGGTAGCAACGCCGCTGACAAGGAAACCCACGAATTGACTCAAAACCGTGGCCATAGGGATGACCATCTTTCGAGGTTTGCCCATTGCAGCGCAAGCCTGGGATTTGAGACATGGGTGCGCATACCCGCCTTCTCCTATTCCAAGGTGGCTTTGAACGGGCCCACGGAACCCAAAGCGGCGACTGCAAATTCAACTAAATAGAACTTTTTAACTTCTGACCCTCTGAAAAGTTGAGCGGATTGGCCAAACCAATCTTCCAACAAGCATAAATTCCAGAATCTCATGGCCTTTCTGAAAGGTTGTTTCATGTTCTGCCTAGGCTGCTCAAAAAACATAGGGCTGTCTGGAGTAGCTGCGCCGACATCCTTGAGAGTCTGTCTTTCTCTTTTCATGATTGAGTTGTACCCAAAGGAAGCAAAAAGCTCCGGCAGTACAAAAACTCAGCGATTGCCCAACCAAAACATAACTTGGCTGAATCTGGTTTATGGTTTAGGTGGGGGGCCTTGGATTCAGGTAAAGAATGTTCAACGTCACTTTCCAGCAAAAGAATCTCGCGACAAGCAAACACAACCGCACGCCTATGGGCAATGCAGGGTCAATCAGTCTGGCCTACACCAGCGCCGACGTAATGTGATCCTGACCGACAACGATTGAAACATAACACTCACATTTTCGATCTTGTCACATCTCGTCCAGCCGAATTCTAAAGGAATTTCCCAAACTGAGGGATTCCAGTCCAGGCGCCAACTCATTCAATAGCTCTTTTTTGGAGGTACTGGGGTACCCCTTGTTGGGCAGCTTTCACAAGACAGCCATGAAACAAAACTCCATGCCAGTTTGGAGCAAGCAAAGCTTCTCCTCCGAGCCCCGAGCTGTGGTCCGAGCTGTGGTCCCAGCTCGGTGGGAGGGAGCTCGAACTTGCCTCGCGTTGATGCCCCCTCAAACAAAGCAGAGCCAAAACCCGAACTGCGAGACACAACACACTTGGACAATGCTTCTACCAACTGCCCATCTGCACTAGACCGCCTTGCACATGTTTTGCAAAGGTGAGTGGGTGAGCACTGCCCAACAAATCATGCAAGAATGGAGCCAACCTTCTTCAGCGTGATTTCAGCACCACTCCAGAGCCCCGAAGCCAAAGCCAACCGCAACTTGCAGTAGCTCCTTCTACTGGAGAGGTCGGTTTTCTGGTTTTCTCGAGGGAAACAGTTCAAACATGTTCAAGCAGGGATCGTACGCACACCTGTCGTTACATCGGTGGCTCTTGGCGAGCCTTGCAACGAGGATGGTCTGATACGTGGCTTGAGCCCACATTAAGCTCGGTCGAAATTAAGCGCATGCAATGCGTTCTCAGCCTAGTTTGTAAGTCCCCTATTATTGTCCAATGTTCCAAAGGAGAATATTTGCTCAAGGCCCTTTATCGTTTGTTATGGCTTGCGCATGTCCACGACATCAATGAAACACCGAGTACTACACACAACAGCGGTGACTCTGATATTTCATCATGCGAAACACCCAAACTCCTCCATGACACACAGGTTGATCCTAGATCGTCACTCTCCTCCGCAAATCGTTGACATGGGCTGACAGCCACCAATGCAAACGCAATTCTCAACGCAGCGAATTAGTTTATGTAACCTAAGTGGGCATGTGCATACGTGAATACCTCCACTTAAACACCCAAACAGAAAAAGAACAACATTGCTTCAAATAATGGTCAACAAAAATGCAGTGCACATATATATATATATATACAGATATGTTCAAGTAGTTGTTCAATAGTTGTATATATATATATATATATGTGGTACAGCGTTGCCAGCCGCCCCCCCCCCCCCCCAATGGTCATGGGTCAGACAAGTACCCCCCCCCCCTGTGGTTGTGGTCCTATGGTTGGGTTGTGGTGGTTTAGGGTTGGTTTAGGGTTGGTTTAGAATTGGTTTAGGGTGTATTTAGGGTGCATTTAGGGTTCGTTTAGGGTTGGTTTAGGGTTGGTTTATGTCGATTTAGGGTTGGTTTAGGGTGGTTTAGGTTTAGAGGTTTACGGTTTTAGGGTTTGGTTTAGGGTGTATTTAGGGTTGGTTTAGGGTTGGTTTAGGGTTGGTTTAGGGTTGGCTTAGGTTTAGGGTTTATTGTTTAGGGATTGGTGAAGGGTGTATTTTGGGTGTATTTCGGGTTTTGTTAGGGTTGGTTTAGGGTTGGTTTATGTTGATTTAGGGTTGGTTTAGGGTTGGTTTAGGTTTAGAGGTTTAATAGGGTTTGGTTTAGGGTGTATTTAGGGTTGGTTTAGGGTTAATTTAGGGTTGGTTTATGGTTGGTTGCGGGTTGGCTTGTCCTGGGGTGGGGGTGCCGGGGTGTCGGGGTGCGAGTTCAGGGGGTCGGGGTGAGGGTGGGACCGCAGGTGCCAGGATCCGGCTCGGGGTCTCGGGTTGGGGCGGGGGTCCTGGGTTTTGGGTTTTGGGTTGGGACCCATACCATCTGGGGGGGGGGGGGGGGGGGGGGGTAGCAACACGGAACACGGGACCATATATATGTACATAATATATTGTATATATATATTGCATAAAAATACTATGTATACTCCTATTGTTGTAAACAACACGATCTTATCTACTAGATAGGAACAGCCTCAAAGTTGCTGGTGTGCCACATACTTCACAAGTGTGCCACATACTTCGGTGGTACGTCTTTTGGTTTTTCTTGAAAACAGAGACCCCAACATCCAAGAGCGGTCCCCTAAAGACACTGCCAGCCCTGCGGGCCCAGAATCAGGCAAGCTGCGAGGCAGTGCGATCTCCTGCCCCTTTTTCCTTGGTGAAATCTGGAACGGAGCTAAAAGAGCGGCATGTGTTTACATGCAGGCACTGCTTGCCCGCGAACAGTTTCCATGAAAGCACGCTGCACTGCAGCAAACCTCAGTCGTGTTCCACTTGCCACGGCCATGGCCACAAGCAGCCAGGTCCAGACCCCACGGTTTCCTCGATCTTGATGGCGTGGAACACATCTTACACTATGACACGCAAGCACCGCTGAACCGCAGTGCTCAGAACGTTCTGCGAAAAGAAGCATAAGCAGTGTGCCGCACCTGGGTACAGCACACACGTAGCGTCGTCACCTCAAGCCTTCGGCTGAAAGGCGCCGATTCGACGCCGATTCGACGTCAACGAGCTGCTGCCTACCACAGGCCTGAACTCTTCCAAAACAAGTAACCTTCTGTCGGGTTCCACGTTGCTTCGTTCGCCTTGGCCGCCGTGGTAGGAAACTTTTGCTGGGAGAACACATATCGGGCTACCATCGGGGAGACCGCACTACCCAAGGCCCAGGTGTTCTGGGTAAACGTGGGCACAGTGACTCGGCAATTTGGCAACTCAGTCTTATCAATCAGTGCCCTTTGGCTCCGGGAATTTGGGTTTGTTTGAAGCAAAGGTCAATGCTTGGGGGTTCACGGGCGGCTAGGCGCGAGATCGAGTCTCCGCGAGCGGTGCAAATGGCGGCGACGAATGTGACCAACTCGGAACGCAGCCCAGGGCCCAGGGCCTGTGGAAGGCGGATGCCCCGAAAGTACTCGCACTGGCGCAGGGCACGCTCCGCTCCTGTTGCTGGATGGCAAGGACAGCAAGGAAGTGTTGAAGGCGGCAAAGTACACGACGGACCTTTAAGAACCGCATGAACTTGACTTACAAACGATAAGGTGGAAGGAGGCAGGCTGCAGTCCGGACATGTGCCTGGTGGCATATGGACAAGCTGAGTCAGAGCAATGTGAAGCTCAACCTGCTGTCAATGTCCTTGGAGAACGACCACCTGGACGAAAGGCCGACCATCAGATTTCACGACGGTGATATTTACAAGCAAGGAAGGAGGAGTCCCACGTCGACGAAACAATCAGCGACTGAAGCAGGCATGAAAGGAAGAATCCTCTTCCGAGTAAGTTCAAGATGATTGTGGGCCTACATCTCCCCACAAAACAACCACTCACCCACTCATCCGAAAGGCTGCTTCGTCATTCGGGAAACGGTGGCCACTCTTGCAAACTGCCGAAAGGCCATGCGCCAATTCGGCGGCCAGGGGAAGTGCCTTCTGTTGAAAAGTTGCAAGCCTCCCATGTCGTGCCACCTTTTTTCGCTGGCACGGCCCATAGGCCCCAAAAAAATGTGGCGCCCGCTCGCTTCAAAAAAGCCGCCGACTGGGCGCCGCCCAGCCGCCGCCCAGCCGCCGCCTAGGCGCCTAGGCGCCTTCCGCTACCGAGCTCCTCCCCAGCTCCCGGGTGCTCCCCAGCTCCCGGGTGGACTTCCGCCAGCTCTTCATGCGCCTGGAGCCCAGGCGCCGTGCGCGCCTGGCCTCCGCCACCTCGATGTCGAGGCCGTAGCCCACGCGCTTGCAGAAGCCCAAGGTGTAGGCCACGAAGATCAACGCAGAGACCACCGTACCTTAAAAAAAATCCCTGAAGGAAAAAACAGATTAAAAAGGATGTTGTGAAACAAAATGCGGCAGAGGGAGCAAAAACATGGTTAAAAGGCTTCAAATCCGGCAACATCAGGAGGGCCAACAAGGCTGTTCAGTACCAAAACACCTGAAGAGAACACTGCACATTCCCTCAACCATGGCACTCTTGCCCAACTGATCCAAATCCGCTCTTTCCAACGTGCCCTCAGTTGGCCTTCCCCCCAATCCCAAAATCCGAGCTAAGGCGCTGAACATGAAGGGCGCTAGTGGGTGGACCATCTCGTACAAGTTCATTCCCAGAAACCCCGCAAAGGTGGCGCCCAGCGATTCCGCGTTCTTCGCCAAGACCTGCAGCGTGAGGAAGGTTCCTGCGCGCGAAGCAAGCCTAGACAGGCCACTTGGCCCCGTTTTGAAACGCGGAGAAAATGCGCCAGTGCAGCGCTTCAGGAAGTGGTTCTACCTTGCGGGAAGCTAACTTCAGTAAGCGGGAATACAGGAAAGAAAAGTATGTTTTCTTCTTAGTGGCGCAGAGTTGCTTCACGCTCAATCTGGAATTCGCGGCACTGGGTTGTTCTTGAGTCTTCGACTTGAATTTGAGAGGGCTTTCCCAGCTGAACCAAGCGATCAGGCCACCGAGCGAAGCGGCACTGGGGCCGGGGTTCGAAAAACACACGGCCACATTGACTATTGACTGGCTAAAATCCAACGTACGTTCTGATTTGATCTTTGAATTGGGAAAACAAGGTGAAATTCAAAAACCACTCGCCATGCGGGCGTGGACTGAATCGGCAAGGGTTGGACAGTGCCCTGGCGGGACAAATGACACTTCTAGATAAGTGGCGGCCCAAACTGGAACCTCTTTTGAATGTTGCAAAGAGGACCGAGCAGAATCAAACAGACTGGGAGGCAACTGAATCAGCTGAGGCGATCCCTCCTTTGAAGAGCTCCAATTTTTGAAGGAATGCTGGCCTCCTTGCCCTTTCGACCTGAAGTTTTCCCCCGATAGTCACCAGTACGTGGCCAGGTGTGAAAGGACACATCGTCTGGTGTCACGCCAGGTCGCCAAGTTGCTGTTTCTGGCTTTGACCGTTCTGCACCTCAAGAAAGCATCGCTCGCGGATGCCTGGTCACGATGCCTGTCGAGATCTGGCCGGTTGCCAAGAAGCCCGTGGCGCGACAGGAATCTAAAGACTCGTACATGAGCTCTCTTGGCTCCCCCCCATCCCCTATACTTGAAGTTGGCTCACAAGGCTTCACCAAAATTGCGACAACATCTGACCTCCAGTCCTGGGTCCCCTAGAGAGTAGAAGAGATTCAAGTCCGTGGTCATCCTGCGTCCGGTCGGACGACGCAGGCAGCCAGCATGCTCGGCCCCAGTTCAACCAAGCACAGGACCAAGTGACCGTTGAACTCTTCGCATCTGGAACCAAACTGCCGGTTGATGCCTGGCACCGCTTACCCATCCCGAAATACTGTGATGGATAAATCAAGTTGCTACTTATGTTGTACGCGGGAACCCTCCGGAACCCTTCGATAGGCTGCAATGGTCCAAAACCCTCCATCGAATTACTTCTGGATGATCAGTTGCCGCTCTGCCTCCAAAAGTCTATGGCCGAAGGAGAAACCAAAACAATTTTCTGGGGCCCGACCTTTGGAAACACGGCTCGCCCGTCTTGGGGCCCCAGGCTTCATGGAGTACACATAGACGGTGCCCATGAAGATCTGGCGAGCGGCAAGCTCGGCTCCGAAACTCGGCCCCAAAAAAAATCATAGGAGCTCTGAGGGTTTCACTGGAGGTCCAATGGGCCAAGCGCCCTTCCAAGCTGGTTCCAGACAGATTGCGAGGTCCACTCGAGCCTGGGAGACCACGGCCGGAGCCAGGCTCGGGGCCATCATGCCGCCATTGAAAAGAACCCAGAAGGCCAGCAGGCAGGAGAGGTTGTACCTGGCGCCCGACTTGGGCTACTGATCTACGTGCCTGGCTGTGCATCCCATGTGCAATATGAGTGGCTCCAAGATAAGACAAAAAACCTGGCTTAACCCCTTCAGGTTGGGAATCCACCCCGCAAACCTACCTTGGCTCGCCGCGGATTCAAACGAGGCCCACGCTAAGGTGCCCTTTTGAATTCGTACCATTCGCACAAAGGGATATCCCAGATATACAAAGAGGGGAGGAATGCGTGAACAGACCGTCCTTTTGACAGCTTCAGTAGTCAAATGTGACGAAGGGAGAGCCCTTTCCTACCCTGAAGAGTCGGCATTTGCTGCCTTCCTGACTTTTCAACACAAGCATGTTGATCCCTGACAAAAGTGGAACAGGAGCCATGGTGCAAAATCAGAAAAGCTTCGTTTGGAGCCATCGGCTGAACGGAAGTCAAGTAAACAAGCTTCCTGAATGGGCCCTGCAAGTGACCAATCCCATTGCGCTTGTCCGCGTCCGAGTTGCGGCTGGCGTGTGATGTTGCGGAAGAAGCGTCGAACGCAGCCAACATTCTCATCCTCGTCGACATTCTTGCAGCACCTGGTTTTGATCAGATTTCTGACCAATTAAAGCTTTTGGAGACCTTCAACGAGCATGCTTAGGCAGGTTCTGCACGTTCGCACTGCGTCCGGAGCATCGCCCCGAAGTGCGGGGCAGTCGATGTCCACTTACAAATAAATTGTGAATCATGAAAGCGTTCATTCATTAGGGGCCCTCCGATTTGCGTGTACCAAAATCCAAAAAGAAGCATGCTTCTGAGAAAAGTTATGCTTTTCTCGGGGTGGGAAATGCGACTCTTGCCAAAAGAGGTAGCTTTTTGTTCCCCTGCGCTGGGGTCCCCAGCGCAAACTGCATCATGCAGGCAGCCACCAGGTCCCCGCTGGTCTGAGCAAGCCCAGCCCAGGTGGCTGACATCCATCCGTGCTGCTCCCGGAAGAAAATGGCAAAGGTGGACCACTCGATCACGTAGGAGACGTTGTTGCCTGCCGAACTCGGACTCCAGCGAACGGCTTCCACAGCGAAAATCCGCCGACCTTTGTGAAGGGAAGCGCCTAAGAAGAATGTGTTTTCTGCTGCCAATGCTGGCATGAGTGTTCGGGTCTACGCAGCATTTTTTTTGCATCAATTCTCTCAAACGCCCGTCCCAACGCCATTGGCATCATTGAAAACGGTCCCTCGCTGTCATCCTGGCTGCATTAGCATAAACGGTCCGTGTCATCCCTACTGCATTGCCGTTGGCATGAGTGTCAAGAGGGGAGCTCGTATGCTGCCAATGCTGTTGGGATATACAAGTGTCAAGAGTTTGATGCTGTTGGCATGAGTGTCAAAAGGGGGGACATTTGGTATGCTGCAGCATACAAAATCTTGCATTGGCAGCATACAATACGGTCCCTTTCATCCCAACACCATTGGCAGATTGAAAACAGTCCCGTTAACTTGGCAGCATACAAACGGTCCCCACCCCCAACAGCATTGGCAGCATACGAAAGGTTCATCCCAACTGCATTGGCAACACACATCATCCCAACAGCATTGGCAGCATGTCCCCTTTTGACATTCTGATTCTGAAACAGCCTTGGCAGCGTACAAAACGGCCCTCATCACACTCACCAACAGAATTGGCAGCAAAAAAGCAGTCTCCCTTTCACGGGCAGCCTGCAATTTTGGCACTCATCCTTTACACGGTGCCCTTTTGACAGTCATCCCAACAACATTGGCAGCATGCAAACCGGTCCCCGTTTTGACACTCATCCCATACGAAACGATGTCCCTTTTCACTCTCAGCCCAACAGCACTGGCAGCAAACAAAGCGGCCCCCGTGTAACACTCGCCTGAACAGTCTTCACAGCGTACAAAACAGTCCCTCCTTCATCCCAACAGCATTGGCAGCACACAAAACGGTCCCTCCTTTGACACCCTCATGTACAAAATGGTCCCTCCTTTGACACTCATCCATATACAATTGAGCCTTCCTTTGACATTCTTCCCAAGAGCATTTGCATACCAAATGGTCCCTCCTTGTGACACTCATCCATCTACAAAGCGTTCCCTCTTTTGACACTCATCTGTGTACAAAACGCTCACTCATCCCAACAGAACTGACAGCATACAAAAACAGTCCCTCCTTTGACGCTCACCCACAAAGCGGTCCCTCCTTTGACACTTATCCCAACAGCATTTGCATACCAAATGATCCCTCCTTGTGACACTCATCCATCTACAAAGCGTTCCCTCTTTTGACACTCATCCGTGTACAAAACGGTCACTCCTGTGGCACTCATCCATGCATACAATGGTCCCTTCTTTGACACTCATCCGCGTTCAAAATACTGCCTCCTTTGACACTGATGCGTATACGAAAAACGGGCCCTCCTTTTGCACTCATGAAAATACAAAACCATCCCTCCTTTAACAATTAAAAAAAAAAAAAAAAAAAAAAAAAAAACTCCTTTACTAATCCATATACATAGCGGTCCATCTCAACAGCATTGGCAGCATAAAAAAAAGTGGTTCCTCCTTTGACACTCATTCCAACAACATTGGCAGCATACAAAACGGTCCCTCCTTTGAGACTAATGCATATACAAAGGGGTCCCTCCTGTGACAATCATCCATATACAAAACGATCCCTCCTTCAACAAACATTGCAAAAGCACTGGCAACATACAAAACGGTCCCTCCTTTGACACTCATCCATATACAAAGCGATCCTCCTTTGACATGTGACACTCATCCATATGCAGAACAGTCCCTCATTTGACAATCATTCCATATATAAAACGGTCCCTCCTTTGACACTCATCCATACACAAAACGGTCCCTCTTTTGACACTCATCCGTATACAAAATGGTGGATCCTTTGAAGCTCACGCATACACAAAACGGTCCCTCCTTTGACACTCATCCGTATAGAAAATGGTCCCACTCATGCATAGAAGAAGAAGAAGAAAAACAACGGTCCCTGGTTTGACCCTCATCCGGATACAAAACCGTCCCTTCTTTGACACTTATGCACACACACACAAAACGGTCCCTCCTTTGACACTGATGCATACACAAAACGATCTGTCTTTGACACTCATCCATAAACAAAATGACTCATACTTACAAAACAGCTCCTCCTTTGATACGCGTTCCAACAACATTGGCAGCATACAAAAATGTCCCGCCTTTGACACTCATCCATATACAGAACGGTGTTTGACACTCATCCATATACAAAACGGTCCCTCCTTTGACACTCATCCACACACCAAACGGCTTCCTCTAGCAGTGATCCCAACAGCATTGGCAACATGCGAAACGGTCCCTTCTTTGACACTCATGCATATACATAACGATCCCTTGTGACATACAGTCATCGCAAGAGCACCCATATACAAAACAGTCTCTCTGTTTGACACTCATCCATGTACAAAACGATCTTTCTTTGACATTTGACACTCATTCATGCACAGAATGGTCCCTCGTTTGACACTCATGATATACAAAACGGTTCCTCCTTTGACACAGCAGTCATCCCAAGAGCATTGGCAGCATACCAAAAGGTCCATCATTTGACACTAAAGCATATACAAAACGGCCCCTCTTTCAACAAACATCGCATTAGCACTGGCAGCATACAAAATGGTCCCTCCTTTGACACTCATCCATAGACAAAACAGTCTCTCCGCTCATCCATATACAAAACGATCCTTTGACATTTGACACTCATCCATATACAGAACAGTTCCTCAGTGGACACTCATCCATATACAGAACGGTCCCTCGTTTGACACTCATCCATATACAAAACGGTCTCTCCTTTGACACTCATCCACATAAACGACGGTCCCTCCTTTCGCAGCCGTATACAAAATGGTGCCTCCTTTGAAACTCATGCATACACACAACTGTCCCTCCTTTAACACTCATCCCAACAGCATTGGCAGCATACACAACGGTTCCTCCGTTGACACTCATCCATATGAAAACGTCCCTCCTTTGACACTCCACCATGTACAAACGGTCCCTCTTTTAACACTTATCCATGTACACAGTCCTCCTTTAAGTCTCATCCAGATACAAAGCGGTCCCTGCTTTGACACTCATCCATGTACAAAACAATCTCTCTTTTGACGCTCATCCATCTACAAAACGATCCTCCTTTGACATTTGACACTCATCCATACAGAACAGTTCCTCAGTGGACAGTCATCCATATACAGAACGGTCCCTCCTTTGACACTCATCCATATACAAAACGGTCTCTCCTTTGACACTCATCCACATAAACGATGGGCCCTCCTTTCACACCCGTATACAAAATGGTGCCTCCTTTGAAACTCATGCATACACACAACAGCCTCTCCTTCAACAATCATCCCAACAGCATTGGCAGCATACACAAAGAGTTCCTCCGTTGACACTCATCCATATGAAAACGGTCCCTCCTTTGACACTCAACCATGTACAAACTGTCCCTCTTTTGACATTTATCCATGTACACAGTTCTCCTTTAAGTCGCATCCAGATACAAAACGGTCCCTGCTTTGACACTCATGCACACACACGAAACGGTCCCTCTTTTCACAATCATCCCACACAAACTGGTCCCTCCTCATTTGACACTCATCCATATACAAAACGGCCCCTCCTTTCGCACTCATACACACACACACGAAATGGCCCGTTCTTTTACAATCATCCCATACAAACTGGTCCTCCTCCTTTGACAGTGTCATCCATATACAAAACGGTCCGTGCTTGACACATATCCCTATAGGAAATGGTCCCTTGTAAGGCGTGGTCTTACAAGGGCGCGGGCCCTTTTTCCTTGATCCAAGAGGGCTAGTACGACGCCCATGCGTGTATGACATGTTTGCCACACCAACTGTACAGCGCCCCCCTCAGCGGATGGTGGGCCCGATGTTGATGCTCAAGCCCTCTTTGCCTTAATGCAGTCTTTGCATTCCTTGAGGTTCTGCATCTGGTTCAAATTCTTGATGCGCTTGCAATTCCTGCGGGTGTGGTAGACTTTGCCTGTAGGTGCAATATGAATCACACCTCCACTTCCACTCTGCTTGTTGACATAAGTCCAAACCATGCAACTGCCTCTGCTGAAACCCACCAAAACCTTGATGAATCCAATCACGCACAAACAGATGATGAAAACATCCCTCCAACTTGTGCTACTGTTCTCCTCGTCTTGCTTGATGGTCTTACCCCTCCGCCATGCTCAGCAGGTTGACCAACGCTGCAATCAGAACCTGATCGCTCACATTGTTGGTCCTGATCTCCTGAACTGCATTCACCTGTGTTGCTGCCTGAAACGGTCCCACATTCAGCTTCTGTTTGAGCTCCACAAACCTCTGTTTTTTGTTGGCAAACCTTTTGTGCCACAATCTGCAAGGTTGTCTGCGCTAGGCACGGCTCTCAGCTTGAACAGTTTCCTCTGCAAACCATTCTGAACACACAAACTTTTGACTTTCAGGTGTCAAATCCTCCCGCATCCTTGCCTCTGGAAGACCCCCCTGGCCGCGCTGCTGTCCAGGTAAACAGTCATGTCTAGCTTGATGCCGAAGAATCTGAAAACTTCCACCAAGACAAGTCCTTCACTGCATGCTGAACTCTGCCTCGGCTGAAGACAAACACAGCATTCTCATCTTGCGCAAACTTCCAGTTGTAGGCTGCTTCATGTCCGCTGCATACTGCACAACAAAGCCAGTCCAACTCCAGCACGGTACTTCTTGTTTTGCCAGTAGTCCAATGCCTGTCCATCATCCACCTCAGACGCACAAAGGGGGTTCTTCCATCTCATAGAGCTTCAGCAAATCATTGATGTACTTCGATCTTGGAGTGAGGAAGATGCCTTCTTCGGTCACTCTCCTGCTGCGCTTCAAGTGACTGAACTTGCAATCGCCTTCATGGCACTCCGCTTTCATGACAATCTTCTCCTTGAGCTTTCCATGAGCTTGTGGCACGCCTTCTTGGATCCGGCGCCACAGAGGTCGTCAACCTCCATGCCTTGACGGGGTCATAAAAGAACCACGGCGCTGCGTCACACCTCTGCATGCCTTCACTGCCCAAATGGCTGGCGGCCCATTCGACGAATGCCTGTCCGGCAATTCTCCGTCCGTACCACTCCTTCAGCAACTCCCAGACGACATTGGGATCTCCACCATTCGCAATCCAATTGTCAAGCCACTCCCGTGATAGGAACTTGCCAAAACGCATTCTCTGCATCCGCTGTGAAACAGATGTAGTCCTTCTGGAGGCCAATCACGTCAATGACTCTTGACGTAGAAGTGCTGGAAGCCACTGCAAAGACGTCTGTCCTGGGGTCACGTTTCTTGAACTCTCTCACGCAGTAACTCAGTGGCGGCGTCTGACGGATTTATTCAGCTTGCGTGTGTTGACCCAAACCTTCATACCTTTGTTTCATTTAACTTGTAGACACCATAGCGCTCCATAGATCTCTTCTTCTGTGAGCGGCTTGGACTCCTCCATGCCTCCGCCATCTGGAACTCATCTTCGAACTCAACCTCCTCCATGGGGCTGTAGAGCGCGTTGACCGACTGACCCTCTACCTTGAGCTTCTTGCAGCGCAGGTTCACTCTCGACGTTCATCGGCGCGTTACCCCTCTGATCAGCAGGCACTCCGCATCCTGAAGATGGCTCATCTTGCTGCTGCTGCTGTTGCTCCTCATCTGCACTCTTGTCCTCCGCGGTCTCAACCGACTTCGGGCCCACACGGCGTTGCCTTTCACTGCTGTCTCCCGCGCGTGTGTCCTGGTCTTGCTCATCGGTGTCTTGAACATCACGGTCTCGCAAAACGGAATGAGCAAACTGGTGGGTAGGCGGTCCTCTGGTTTGCCTTCACAGCAAAGCGGTTCCTCAGGAAACTCATCTCGCTAGCCAAGGCCAAACATTGTGTGAAGTGTGTAGGGTCCTGCTGTACTCGGTCTCCACTGCATAGCGAAGTGTCAGCACATCTGCCCTGAGCAATTTCTGAAATGCTCCCACGCTGCCCAAAGTCTGTGATGAGTACCTCGGGGCTTCATCTAGAACTGACGCTGGTTGTAGGGGTCGCCATTCTCTTCACCTCTCATCAAGCATCATCTTCGCCTCGTTGAGCGCCTCGATGATCTTGTCCCCTCCTTGGATGTTCATCTCTTTCGCGTACGACTCCAAATAGCGGCGCTCTTTCTCCGGGTCCTCCTCATCCGCGCCGTTCCTACGCCGTACTCGGCGCGGGCTCGGTTCATGTCGATGGCACCTTCTTCGTCTTCTGCCCAATTCATGACCATTTCCATTTCAGGGAATATCGAAAAGATGAGAGCTCCCGATTTGATCTTCCATCGAAGGAAATGCTCATCGTCTTTCGCAGTGAACTTGTCGTTTCCCAACAGCGCGATTGTGAATAAGGGAAACCTTGCTTTCTTCACCCTGCTTCAACGCTGCGACCAATTCGGTTTCGGTTGCACCGCCTGATCCAGCTGCTTGACCAGCTGCTTGTTGTTGGGCAAGTGCATCCATTTGCAATCGAAGTTACTGTTCTCGTCCTTCGCTCGCCTGGAACGCCTCACTGAACCTTTGCAGTTGCTGCTGCATCATTTGCAACCGCTGTTCAAGCGATATTGCGTCACTTTGTACACAAAGGAACCCTAGACTAGGAGCCGCAGCTCCGCTACCAGTTTCAAGAATTGTGTAGCGCAGACAGCCACACTCTATTTTACAGTGTGCCTTGAGCCACAATGCCTATGAAGTGAGACCTATGGGGAACCTGATATGTCAACGTGTTCTTTGACACTCATCCATGTACAAACGGTCCCTCCTCCGACAAGTCATATGCAAAACGGTCCCTCCTTTGACACTCAGCCCTCCTTGGACACTCATCCATATACAAAACGGTCCCTTTGACACTCATCCAAATACAAATTAGTCCCTCCTTTCACACTCATCCGTATAAAAAACAGTCCCTCCTTTGGCACTCATCCGTATACGAAATGTTCGCTCCTTTGACACTCATCTGTATACAAAACCGTCCCTCCTTTCCTTTGACACTCATCCAAATACAAACTAGTCCCACCTTTCACACTCATCCGTATACAGAACAGTCCCTCCTTTGGCACTCATCCGTATACAAAATGTTCGCTCTTTTGACACTCATCTGTATACAAAACCGTCCCTTCTTTCCTTTTGACACTCATCCATATGCAAAATGGTGCCTCCTTTGACACTCATCCGGTCCGTCCTTCAACAGTCCATATACAAACCGTCCCTCCTTTGACACTCAGCCACATACAAAACCTTTGACAGTCATCCATATACAGAACAGTCCCCAATTTCACACTTATCCATATACAAACAGTCCCCAATTGGACGCTCGTCCATATAACAAACAGTCCCCATTTTGACACTCATCCATGTACAAAACAGTGCCCAATTTGACTCTCGTCCATATACAAAGCAGTCCCCATTTATCCATATACAAAACAGTGCCCAATTTGACACTCATCCATATACAAAACAGTCCCCAATTTGGCACTCATCGATATACAAAACAGTCCCCAATTTGACACTCATCCATATACAAAACAGTCCCCAATGTGACACTCATCCATGTACAAAACAGTCCCCGATTTGACACTCATCCATATACAAAACAGTCGCCAATTTGACACTCATCCATATACAAAACGGTCCCCCTTTCAACACTCCTTCCCAGCAACATGGGCAGGTTGCTCCACGATCCTGGCCAGTTTGACGCGTCCCCGGCACTCATCCCAGCAGCACTTGCAAGGGTCTTCATCCCGACGGATTGGCTCCGCGCAAGATTGAGGCACACTACCCCCTGCCCCTCCCAACAGCAGGTCCCTAGAGCAACATTGGCAGCATGCAAATTGGTCCCAGTGGACTGGACTACAGCACAGCAGCCCGCATTTAACACTCATCCCGGCAGCATGCGCGCTCAGAAACTTTGGCAGAAACAAGTTCCTAGTGCGTTTGCAGTAAAACGCGCCGTCCATTTGCACTCAACCTGGCAGCATTGGCAGCATTGGCTCCCTTGCCAACACATAAAACGCTCCCCTGCTTGCACGCTCATCCGACAGCTTTGGCTCCCAACAGTGCGATATGCAAAAAGTTCCCCGCCCTCCATTGCCCGGCAGCATGCACAATGGTTCCCCGCTCGAATGCTCATACCAACAGGTGAAACAGTCGCGACAGGGAAAGCTGGGCCCCCACTGGGGCCGCGCACGCTGTCTCGGTTGAAATTCTACGATGGTTGGGTAGGTCTGAGAACTTTCTGCCATCCCAAATTTGTTTTGGCGCGCCGTTTCCTTCCGGAGCCGACGAAAATTGCAGAAAAAAACCGCCAACTTGAACCAACAACTTGGCAATATCTGATGCGGCACCAGTTGGCAGTTGGTTTGTCCGTTTCTCCCTGAATTCATAGGGATTCATCCGGGTCAACTGGTGCAGGATTGTGTCCATCCACACTCAAACAGTTTGGGGAACACCGTCTCTTTGTGTCTGACGCATTTGCCTCCAGCGGGCTGGCGTTCCCTGCGAACTGCGAAGGACAGATCTCGCACAAGGTCGCTCCCAGCCCGTCTGAAGCACATTGCGCCACACACTAAGATAGGATACTCCCCTAGCTATCAAATCGTCAGCCCCAGCAGGGGGGGCATCTCCCAAGCTCCTGAAATGATTGGTTGCCTTCTAGTTTCCTTTCAAACCAACGCAAGAAAAGCTTAAAGAAAACCATGCCCCGTCACACCATTGAATATGCGATTTGAGTCTCACAGCGGTTGGCGGCACCAGGCGGCAGCCCTGACTATACTTGCGGGCCTAGTGCTCCGATTGACGAGTTGAATGCATTCCGACAATCTGTGGAATTTGATAAAGTGAGGGTTCCAGAGTGGCTGGGCATACCTACTCGACTTGCGAATCTGGGAACAACTCGCTAACCCGGCGAATCCCCGTGAACTCCTTGGGATTGCCCCGTTGCCAGCGATCCCGACTTCGGATCCCAGGGGCTCAAGCTGTTCAGCAGGATCAGACTCGCCGGCAGCCACAGCTCCCTCCCCAGCGACGTCTTCTTCTTCCCCACCTGCACACGCGGCGCAGGCACAGCCCGTTGTCAAACCAGCGGGACAGCAACCAGAGACTTTTTGGAACTCACATTGGCCCTTTGCATTGGGGCGCGCTCCATGATTTCCATGCGGCCGAAGCAAACGATGCAACACCCTGGTCGCCTGCTCATCTTGTTCGATGTCCCGGCCGCCCTCCTCCTGCTCAGTGGGTGCGTGAGAGCGCTGTGCACTGGCTTCAAAAGTGCACAAAATACCCTGCAAATGGAGAGAATGGATTCAGGTCAAAAGAGGTTGGAACCCTGTCAAGCCTGAAACGAAACCGTGACACCACTGAACCGGCGAGTTGGAACTCGGCGGAAAACATGTTGGCCTTAGCCGGAAATGAAACCAACAAGCGAAGGCACCAAACATTGTGATGGCAAACTTCTTCCGCCAACAATGAGGAAATGTGAAGATGCACTCAACCCATGAAGATTTCGCCGCAAGGGGTTGGCATTGCGTTAACACATCACAAATATTCCGCACACTCCTTCGGCCGAATCCTCCACTCTTTTACTTGAGTCAGCTTTCAGCCCCTTCTTTGCCTCCCCTCGCCTCCTCCTCCTCCTCCTCTTCCTCCTCCTCTTCCTCCGACTCGGCATCTTTCGAGGGCTCGAAGCTCCTGGGTTGGTCAAACTGGGTGCCTGTCACTTTCCAACAAAAAGTGAATAAATCCTTAGATACTTGGCCACCAAAATCATTTGCGACTGATGTTTTTGTTGCGGAGGTCTCAGGAGCACTCAGCAAGCTTCCTTTCGGCCCCATCCCGCAGCAGGTCGCTCCCCCCAAATTCAGTTCACGGTGAAAGTGTTCCCCGACTTCAAAGCGACTCGCCCGCTTACGGTTGATTTTCTTCTTTGCGGGTTTCCGTTGTCTTTTTTTTTTAATGGTTCTGATTCAAACGCCCGGGCGCATGACCCCGGAGTGGGAGGCAAAGAGCCGCTTCGCGCTGGCCGGCACGTCCGCCATGCTGCCGGCGCGCGGCTTCTCGACCGTTTTGTTGGAGGTAGCCTGGGAGCGCCGGGCCTTCCGGGCCGCCGAGTCCGCCAGGGTCTGACGCGGGCGTGCGCGGTGTCTCGGGTAAAGCAAAAAGCCACCCATTGAGGTCGCATGAAACTCATTCTAAAACTGTTTCTTTGTTGTTGTTGTTGTTTTTCTTTTTTCCGGATTGGTCTGCATTGGTTTCCCCTTTGCCGAAAGGAGGGTCGGACCCACCCGAGGTCCCGAGTTCAGTGGTCAGCCCCAGGCAAAAGTGGCCGCCGTGTTGGGCATTTCATACTTTTGTGCATGTGGCTTTGTCGGGCGTGGCTTCTAGGAATCCTCCGCCCGTGGATCACGCGTTCAGAAAGTCCATCCTCCGTTTCGCAACCCGGCCTGGGCCTCGACCTGGGAGGCTCTGGCCAAGAAGCTGTTCCTGAGCCTCAGCCTCTCCAAGGGTCCCAAACCCATGGACATCAAGCTGCCGCGCGTCGGCCGGGTCTTGCCTTGCCGACAGTTGCCCACAAGTTTGCGAGTGAGAGGCCGCAAAGCGTGCGGCAAATCGAAGGGCTGGTTTACAAGGTTTGTATGTTGTTTCCCGCAAGACCCGCCGATATTCTGGGTCAAATAAGGTTGGGGGGGGGGGTGGTGGGGGAGCACAATTAGAGGGAAATGAAGGGAAATGAAGGGCAAATGCAGGGAGAAAGGGGGCATGAATGGAAATGAACGGAAATGAAAGGGAACTGGAGGGGACATGCAGGGAAAAGAACGAAAAATGCATGGAAAATCAAGGGGAAATGAAAGGGAACTGGAGGGGAACCAAGGGGAAATGAAGGAAAATGAAGGAAAACGAAGGGAAACGAAGGGGAAGGGGAAGGGACATGCGAAGGAAATGAAGGGGAAATGAAGGGGAAATGAAGGGGAAATGAAGGGGAAATGAAGGGGAAATGAAGGGGAAATGAAGGGGAAATAAAGAAAAATCAAGGGGAATTGAAGGGAAATGTTCTTCATTGCTTGCAGCGTGCAGCTTGGAAGAGTTGCGACGAAATGTTGGGCCGCAAAACGAAAAGTCAAGTCAGTCGAGGCTGCCCAAGAAAACGTCCTCCTTCTTCTTAGGCTGCCTCAGCCCGCCGAAATCCGCCGGCAGGGTGCTGCGCTTGGTCTCCAGGGTCGGCTTCTTGCTGACCTGGCCGGTGGCAAAGGAGAACGCCTGACCGACACGGAAGGTCCTCTTAACACATGCCCCAAGGTCGGCACCTTCTTTTGTGCCGGCTCGTCCTCCACGGCGCCGGGCAACGTGGGCAAATCCAGGCCGCTGACCTCCTTGCCCGGCTTGGGCGCTGGCACCACCTGGTCCATCGCCGTCACCACCTCCTCCTGCTCCTCTTTGGGCCTCCACCAATCGCGGAGGGACTGCCAACAGGCCGGCTCGGTGAAGAGCAAAACCACCTGGCGTTCAATCTCTTCGTTTTGGCGAAACCCCCTTGGCCAAACATGTTGCCAAACACCACTTGGCGGTTTGCGCACCTCGATGGAGATGAAGACCACATGGTACACCGTGAGGCCGAACCAACTGTAGGCATCGTAGATCAACCCGGCAAACGTAGCAGCCGAAGCGCAGAGAACGGTGAAAGAGGACAGCGACACCGAGCTGGCCTTCACGGCATCTTCTTCGGACTCCCCCCAAATGTCGAAAGCGATGCCCTCCACAGCGATGGTTGTATCCAAACAGAGGACGCCCACAACAGCTGTGGCCACCTCAGCTTTGCGAGCCATGTCTTTTTCAAACCGAGCATAATAACAATAGTGATAAGAATACATGAACAAAACCCTTCCCCGTCCCTGGTCACCTTGGGGGCGAGACGTTCGGCTAAAAAGCAAGAAGTGACCCATAACGCTCATAGTTTGGGTTGCAGGCATCACATGGAAAACCTCCGAAGAGCTCATGAGGAAGCCATCAATGGGAAAGCACGGGATCCCGAAAAAGAAACTCGGGGAATCGCCCAGGTGACCAACAGCGGCACCGTGAGGCCGCAACCAAGGCACCACCCACTCCACATCAGAATAAATCATCGCAGCGATCGCCAGCGCCACGTGCACGAGGGACTGTGCCGATCCGGGACCCGTGCCAAGCTGTGAAGCAACAGGATGCAAGCCGTCCGAACTGTGTGACAGGTGTTCTGGGGAAGCAAAGGTATGCTGGCCACTGTTCACCACTGCTCAAAGTGCGTCATACTCATATTATCTTCAGTGAGCCCGATCGTGCAACTAAGAAGAATGGGCAAGATGAGGGCTCATCAACTGGCTTCCCGCTCAAAGGGCAATTAGTCTCCAGTTAAGAAGAATGGGACAACCACAGCACAATAACCCGTATGACTTAGAAAGCAATCTTAAAGAAGCTTGGCGTGAACGCAGCATAGCAGCACGTGAAGGAGAATCGCGAAAGACTTTTCCAGCAGTGTGTCCGACAGTGTGTCCTGCGATTACTTGCATAGTTCGATCGCACACCTACGTGAGAGCCAACAGGCTTCAATTAGGTGACACAGTACACATGTGATGGCTGGAATCCAGTGTCTCGGAATGCGTTCAGGGTCTGCACGGCAATTCTGGCTCCAGACTTCTCCCTGAACGAGCAAACGAGCAAGCTCTGTTAGACAAACTTGGCATTGATTGTTTTGTGTGTTGCGCTGTCTTTCCCGGGAGCTTTGTTTGTTTCTCTTGTACTAGCCCCGGGCTTAACCATGGTTCGGCTTCGAATTGCTGTTGATTCTCAACGTCCTTCCTTTTTGACTTTTTTTGTGGAAATGTATTGTATATTGCAACCGTGGCGTTCAAGTCACGGCCAGCTTTCTTCTTGGCCCTCTGTGTGGTGTCCCTTCCTGATTCCTAGAAAAATCCTTCATGGTTATCCATCCAGTCTTTTTGCAAGGCAGCAAAACAACGACGTACCCATCACCACAATGTCCCTGTTTCCAGATGAAATCACCATGTTCTCTTTCACAACAACCCAAGGTCTTTGCGAATGGCTAAGTGGAAAGTCGCACACCGATAATCGTACATCGTGCTCGGGGAGTCGGACATCGGGGACGACGCGAGTCGGACATCAAAATGTGGCGAGTCGGACACGTCCTCCACAAATCATATCGCAATCGGCAGGCCGGCAGACAGACGCGCAAGCAAGAAAGCACGCGGACAAGCCATCGCCCGGGCAGGAAGCAAGCGAGCAAACAAGAAAACAGGCAGGCAGGACAGCACGCAGGCAGGCAACAAGCTAGCAGATGAGCAGAACAAGAAGACCTGCAAACTGACAAGCAAGCAAAAAGACAGGCGCACAGACAAGCCCCAGGCAGGAGAAAGAAAAGCAGACAAGCCGTCACACACACAAAAACAAGCTAACAGACAAGCAAGTAGGCAAGCAAGCAAGCACGCAGAGATGCAGAAAGCCAAGCTACGGACAAACAAGTAGGCAGGCACGCAGACAAACAGCCAAGACAACGCTGACAAGCAGCACACGAACGCAGGACAGCAAGCAAACAGACAAGCAAGCAGGCACGCAGGCAAGCAGCTACGAAAACAAGCAGCATGCAAACCAGGATGCCCGAGGACGCCCAAAAAAGAACGGAAGGCAGGCAGGCAGGCATGGGCAGGCAGGTGGGAGGTGTCGTGCCCGGAAGCACGCGGCATCACAGACACAAGAATCCCTCATCCCCGCGTCTCCACATCATCCAAACTGGGTGGAAGGGGGTCGGGCAGCGAGTCGTGCTCTTGACGTCGGCGGGCGGCGAGTGGCGAGTGGCGAGTCAAGGTCTTGACGCGTCGGGTGGCGAGTTGTGATCTTGACGCACGGCAGGCGGCGGGTGTCGGCGGCTATGATGTCTGACTCTCCGTGCTGTGATGTCTGACTCTTCGCGCGGTGATGTCTGACTCTTGGCGCGGTGATGTCTGACATTTGGGTGTCTGATTTTCTGGTTGGATGTCTGAATTTATCTTCGCTGCTTTGCGAATGGCAGGGCCACACATTCTCCCGCAGGGGAATGCACAAGGTGTTTTTTTAGAAATCAAGACCAACATCTTGGCTGACAGCTTCGCAGGTGGAAAGCAAGGTCCCAACTGTTCCAAACTCTGTAACGCTTCACGGCCCACAACGCTTCAGAGGTGTAAAACCCCTAAAATGGCGCTCCCCCCGTTTCTCCCCGCCAGCGGCAAGGCCGTCCAGAGCCCGATGTGGAGCTGCATCTGCTGCGTGAAGATCCGCAGGCCGAATCCCAGCGACGTGGTGAGCCCGGCGCGCCACAGGTCCCAGCCCATGTCGCGGTAGTAGAGGGAGAACCCCGCCCTCGGAAACCCGAAACCCGAACCCAGGAAAATCCGGATGCGAGCCAAAAACAAAGTGGGATTAGGTCCCCGCTCCTGCGTGAGATGTGCGAAGCCACCCTCGCTGAAGGGACTGCGCTTTGGTAGAAACATCCCTCATGCAGCAAAGCTTGTGGAGGTTAATGATTTCTCTCAGGACCTCTGAAACCAAGCGTAAGGAATGCCTTGGCTGTTTGGTGCGTCCTTTGGCAAAGTGCCACCTTTCTCGGGTCCCAAAATGTGTCCTATTGGCGAACTGCGCATCGACCGACTGCTCAGCTTCCGGCCACGGGAAGCCATTTAGGCCACCATTTAAGGCGGGCAGCAGGCAGCACACAGCGATGAAACGCCAAGAGCACGCCATGGCGTGCTTAAGAACAGGGACACGTCTGCTTTGAGCAACGGGTCTTGCACAAAACGAAAGATGACAACTCGTTGCAAGAGGGAAAGCCGCAGTTTCGACAAACAATGCTCTGTCGCTGCAGCGAAAGTGACAAGAGCGGAACCCGCAAAACTTATTGTTCATGTAATAAATGTTTCTATTCCCACACTCCATGTCCAGCAGCCAACGCGCACATCCAACATCAGTACGTCAGCAAGCCCATCTCAGTGCTATCATGAAGCCGTTGCCATTTCAAGAGACGCACTCCTGACCTACCTGAGCCACCAGCATCCCAACTGACCCTCAAAACGCCGCGTGTGATCAACCACGTTTCCATGCGATCGACCTCAATCGCTACTTACGCTACCAACGTGAGCGCTCACTTGCATCACCGCATCATACGCTTCGCTTGCATCAGCTGGCACACAGCTTCATAGGTTAGAGCGGTATTCGGAAACTAAACCGTTGCATTCGATTTGGAAATTGGAATTCGGAAACTAAGAAACGTGGTATTCGGAACAAATTAGTTTTCAGATCGTCAAAGGCGGTATTTGGAAACTATTATCCCTACCATTTGGCTGGCATGTGTGCAGTGCTGAGCGGGTGCACATCACCGGGTGCGCTCACCATTTTGCAGGCTTCTGCGCAGTGCTCTGAATCCGACTCTGAGGAGTTTCGGAATCCGACTCTTTAGTTTCTGAACATCTCAACCTTGAATTCCCGGTTGCGCACTTTAACTATCTAACTGCGCCTGACCAACCTTAGTTAGAGCCACGCTGAACCCAAAACCCGCCCTCAATCAGCCTCAAAGCTGCCCTAAACAGACCCTGAACCAAGTCAAGCAGCCCGGACCAAAACTAGAGCCACCAAAGAATTGGCCCTAATTGGCCCTAAGCCATAAACCCCCCTACACCAATTCTGAGCCTAAGCCAACCCTCAACCCACCCAAGCCAGCACCCCAAACCAATTGTAGACAAACCCTGAACACACCCGAAACGGATGCTATACCAACCCTAAACCAACCCAAAACCACCGTCCCGTTAGCCCGTTAGAATCCTGTTCACTGCTTCGAGATGGGAGAACATGTGAGCAAAGAAGGCAAAGCGAACAACTCAACTCAAATCGCTCCACACCTTTTTTGACTGATGTTGTCAGAGGTACAGGCTCAGGGGCGCAGAGAAGTCGACAATGCGTGCCGCGCCTGCACCCCTGCGCTTGAGGCCCTGCCCCCCTCAAAGTTCAGGCTCAGGCAACGCGTGTCCAACCGGAGCCTGAGATTACACCCTCCCCATATGAGCAAGCCCAAAACAACTTGCTTCAGGAGCTTGCGTTTCACTCTCCCGGGTTTCTGCAGCGTACGCCATTGGTCAAGCAACTTGGCTTTTTTGTTTCCGAGTGCGAGATTTAATTTATCAACCCCCGCAACATGTTAGACGCGAGCTCGGCCGAAATAATGCAGCTAACAGTCCTAGGACAGAATGCCATGCAAGAAGCAAAGAGGAATGCCCCTGCACGTTGCCACCAATGCGGAGAATCGGGCTCCAAAATTGCAGACTCTGCTCTCTCTGTGGAGGGGTTTCTCCAAACGCATTATAACGCAGCCACGGCCCTTCTCACACTTGTCAGACCAGGAAACGACCTTGCCCGCCGAGACTTTTGCTAAAACGCTGCACGAAGCCTTGGGGCTGCAGTATAACGACCCCTCTAGACGCTTACAGTTTGCACTCAAGTGTTGCAAAGCATGAGGGGGCAAGGGTGGCAACCTTTCACTGTCGTCAGACTGGTTTTCTGCCAACATAGCTCTGTCTGTCTGACGTTTTGCCTCTTAGCGCCTGTCCCGAACGCTGGCACTGTGGTGTCGCCACAGTGATTCTGACCAGGAATGACACAGGGGGCGGTGATGAGCAGCCAGAGGACAGTCAAGTGTTATCGTCCAGCCGCTCCAAGTTGATTTGGAAGAGGTGTGGAACTTCATCAAACAAAGCATGTCAGCATGGAGGCGTTAACGAAAATCCGCTCGGAGGATGTGTTGGCACTGTGTTGTTCTGGGCGAGAAAGTTCAGCGCTATGTGTCACAAACGGTCTCAGCTGTCATTTCTCCACGCAGCACAGATACAGAGATGTGTTGCTGTAGTGTGGTCTTAGCCCCAAATGAAACTCCCCCTCTGCCAAGGCCATTTCCCGGACGGACAAGTGTGAGAATCCCCACAGAAGACTGCCGCCGCCGCCGCCGCCGTCGCTGCCAAGGTTGCTTTGCGCAGCCTGGGTGCGTGCCGGGCGCGTGCCGGGCGCGGGCCCCCCCATTGGCATCCAGGTGGCACCCAGGGCCGGGTGCGGGCCGGGCGTGTGCCGGGCGCGTGTCGGGCGCGTGCCGGTGCGGGCCCCCCGTTGTGGCATCCAGGTGGAATCCAGGGCCGGGCGCGTGCCGAGTACAGGTGTGGGAACCAGCCAGAATGCAGGTTTTCACCAGGGCCCTTGCCCCGGCCATCCCTGCGGATCTGCATAGATGAGCACAAGCCATTTGTGCAGCAAGCCCACAAATGCTGAAGGATGGCCGGTCACTTTTTGCACACTTTGCCAAAAAAACCTGCGACCAATTCCTATTTTACAAGGCTTTATAAAAATGAAAGACCTTCTTTTTTTGCGGAAAAATGCGTTTTAGCCACGGTGACCGCGCAGAACCTGGCGCAGCTTGCGGCAAGTAAAGCCTATGGATAGCTGCTGGCAGCGGTGTTGCCGGCCACTGCCTTGCTGGGAGACAGACGAGGGCGAGCCCTGGACGTGGCCGCATGGCCTACCGTCTGCTCTACTGCTGCTACCTGTGCGTCAAGACTTGGGGTTTGGGATGCGCTATTAAAGCAAACCCCTCCTCGTTGCGTTTCTGCAAGCCGAGCTCTTGACAGTTTAAAAAAATGAGCCAGAGCCAGTCAGAGCCAGAGCCAGCCAGTGCCGCTGCCAGAGCCAGCCAGAGGCAAACAAGAGGAAGCCAAACAAAAGCCAGAGACGGCCAGAGCCAGCCAAAGCCAAGGGTTCCTTTTGAGGGGCTTGTCTCAGCTTACAGAAACGCACCAAGGAAGCAAATCGCTGCACATCTAGAGAAGTTGTTATAGCGCAGCCCCAAGGCTTCCTGCAGCTGTTACAATGCAATTGGTACAGAGGGAGGCGGACGCGCCAACGGAGACGACACAGTACCGCAACAGCCGCGCGCACAGACACCCTGCTACGCCAGCGGCTGCGCGGCCTGCGCCGGGTCTCCTAGCTGCCGTGCTTCCAGAACATCCTGGGCCCCGCACTCGAGCACGACAACAGCGCCTGCGTGCCTCGGCAGCTGACGCAGTTCGACTCGCGCGCCACCGTCAAGCTGGTGGACGCTACGACCCGGCCGAAAAGGAGACGAAGACCGTGGTCTTCGCGCGATGACGGGCACGCCTTCTTCTACCGCAGGCAAGATCAGTTCTGGAGCTTGACGACCGGGATGTGGGCCACGCGCCGTGGCGGAGCTTGTCGCCATGCAGATTGCCGGTCTGTGACAGTGCCGGCATGCGCTCGTCGGCGAACCTCAGCATCTCCAAGCTGGAGAAAATGGCTGTGGCAAGGCTGCCCCGAACGCACGCTTTTTAGCGCCCGAAAGCCTTGAGGCAGCACACCTTGCTTATACGCCTGAGCCAACAGACCTCCGAACCGGTCAAAGAACCCGGACACGGCCTTGCTGCGTTTCTTACAGGAAGGTGTTTCCACAGGCGCCTTGACTGCCCTTACTCAATATGCAGAGGCCGGCCAAGCCTTTAGGCAGTTCCGCAAAACTTTAGTTGTTTGTTTGCTTGCTTGGGTCTGAGTATTTTATTGATTGGTTGGCTGATTGATTGAGTGATTGAGCGGTCGACTGGTTGATTGATTGATTGGTCAGTTGGTTGGCTGACTGATTGGTTGGCTGATTGAGTGACGGAATGATTGATTGACTGATTGATTCTGATGGTTGACTGGTTAAATGGCTGATTTGGCAATTGATTGATTGGTTGATTGCGACTGGCTGTTTTAACTGACTGGTTGATGGAGTGATTGAGCGATTGACTTATTGGTTGCTTGGGTGGTTGGTTGATTGGTTGAGGGGGTTTGATTGGTTTGATTGATTGATTGGTTGATTGATTGATTGATTGATTGATTGATTGATTGCTTGATTGCTTGATTGATTGATTGACTGATGGGTTGCAGGATTGCCTTTAGACATGTAGTTTAAGGTTTAATAATCACGTGTGACTGAGTCATGCGTGGACTGGACAGTGGTCCAATTCCGCTTGGCTGATGTTGGGCAGCGTCAATAGCTGGCTGTTGAACGGCGAAGCTAAGTGGTTGGATGAGTGGCTGACTCCGTGACTGGCTGTGTGAGTTGACTGATTTGGCTGACAACTGCTTGGATTGGATGGCGGGATGGATGAGAGATTGAGGACTACACTCACTTAGCCACTCAGCTTCTGAGTGATTGGCGGACTCTTGTCATTGATAGATCTGTTGAGCAAGTAGCTGCTGATGAAACGTCCAAGCCCGATGCTGCAGGACTGCCGACAGGATGTGTGTGAACTGTGCGTCATCGTCACTTGTCCTGGCGTGGTTTGTGTCAGAAAGATGACAAGACGAAGACTGACAAGAAGACTAACAAGAAGCTGGACAAGGACATCAAAATGATCACAAGCACTCTCTGGTGCGCATAATGGCTTCATTGTCAATGTCACTGCAAGTCAACTCTGTCATAGATTTGTTACACATCTCCATGAGCTGATCAATACAGAGGTCGTGGCCATGGGGAAGATCAGATTGTTCCCAACACCCTGGGATCCGTCCGCAGCGGTCCAGAACTGGCACGCCACTGGCGAGGTCCTGCCGAAGGCACTGCCAGCCGGCGAGGGAAACCCCGGCAGGGTGGAAGACACACTTTCTTATTCCAAAAAATGTAAGGTTGCTAGGGCCATGCACGAAGGGTTTCTGGTGTTTGCGTTTGTTTTAGGTGACTAGTTGGCCCTCATACAAACGTTTGTTGCTGTTTCAATGATTGACTTTGACGCATAATTGCGATTTCACATTTGTCTCCAAAAACAGCGCTTTAAGTGGATTTGCCCCCGATTCGTTCGCCGGGTACTTGCTCAAAGCGCCATCCCCCTTCGCGGATAAACTTGGACAGGCAAGCACGCTTTCCTCCACGCATCTTCAAACTGATTGGTACTGCATCCGCACGCTTTGGCACAGGGAGGAATGCCTCGGTGAAACAGCTGTTGACAGCGCCGGCAACTGTTGCTGGTCCCGTACCCGTTGCAGGCATTCCTTGCTTGACTTGAACACCGTAGCCTGATGTTCAAAAGTGTGAACATTGACCTCCCTTACCCTTCAAGAGTCAAGCAAAGCCGCACTGCAACGAAACAACTGTGCCTGCAACTGCACCCTTTTGTCACTGCACGAGGTGAAACGTGTGCCTCAGCATTGCCTTAGCCGAGAACAGCAAGTGACCACAGCCAGCAGTCGCCAACAATGCAAGTTCAAAAGTGTCGAACTATGCGGCTCCAGCAGCTCCAGCTGGCAACGTGAATCCGTGGCCGTCTGCCCTGACAGCTGGGCGATGGCACAACCCAAAGTTGAAAGGCATCGGAACCAAGTGCTGGGCTTGGATTTGCCACGGTCGACTGCTGAATCTTCATCATCTTTCACCCAGCGGCCGTCCTGCGAAGTCCAGCTGAGAGACGGCAAGGGTGAGGTGTGGGGAATGGAACAAATGGGTTTGTGTTGTTGACACGCAAAGCTCTCCTTCCGGCTGTAAATGCCAATCTTGGATGATTGGAACGGAGAGAAGGAAGGGTCGATTGCCTACAGTGATGTCAGTGAGGCTCACAAAAGTGAAGAGTTCAAGGTAGCGCAGAAAGCTCAAGACTGGCGAGGCTCACAAGCTCTAGGCGCAGGGCCTTCTTCAAGTCATCCACCTGACATCCCCGCGAAGCATGAAGCAGCATTTCCGAAGGCAAAACAAAGCTGAGGTGATCCTTCGCAAAGTGGCGCAGCTGAGCCGAGGACATCTGAAACACTAGCAGTGATTTTGAACGCGCCAAGGATCTCAAGCTTGCCGTCCTTGCAACGCACAACTGCAATCCGGTCCAGTGGACTTCACAGCTTTTCTCGAACATGAACGCAGAGCAAAACCGCACAGCTGGTAAGGCCCAGGGCTTCCCAGCTGACCACCGCAGCGGATTGCGAGGCGGCACTGCCTTGCGGAAGCGCGCCCGTTGGCTTTCACTGGCCTTCAGATAGATCGTCCACACATTCAACTGGGAGGCAACCAGTACGTCCCAAGGCCGATGAACAAGAACGGCAAGACATGATGTGGAGGGAGTTGGTCTGACAGCGCCAAGCGAAAACAAAGATATGGTGCTTGAAATTGAAGGGGGAAAGCGACGCTTGGACGTGTACCATATAACAAGGGGAAAGCGACGCTTGGACGTTTACCATATAACAACATGACCTCGCAAGATTGCTTGCACACGTCTGCTTCACAAGTGCCAGGGGCCACAAACCAACATGCAAACCCAATGCAAAGCAAAGGATTCTGAACTCTAGAGTGACGCCCGCAGCTCAAAAAAACAGAACAGGCACACTTTTCCTGCAAAGTTCATCAGCTAAGCTGCCAATGCTCCCCATGCTCTCCATCCTTGCCAGCTCCTCGCCAATCATCCATCTCATCAGCGTGCCCGATGGTACAAGGGCATATTTATGCTCTCCAGTCCACATGTTTTTGGGTTGGTCGAAATTCGTTGCCCTCCTCGCAACGATGCCACCTACGTTCTCTTCTGCAAGAAGCTCTGCAGCAGCATCTAGCTTCAGATCGTAAACTGGAGACCACCCCTGTTCCAGCATGTTCTGTAAATGCTTCTTTGCATCAGGGTCAGCAGCGCAAGCTGGTAACCCCGGGCAGTCTAGGATGCAAAACGGATGAAAAGCACTGCCTTTGCTTGCCAGCTGCTTGACAGCTTCGGAGCAAACCGCAATATTTCCACCGAAGTAGGTAAAGAACTCTTTCCCGAGGGCCTCACTCATGCCCCATCTGCCCACCATGAGCTGCAGCATGTCCGCTTCGGGTACTTCGTTCACGCTGATGACGTTTTTGATAGCTTGCAGGTTCATGCCGCAGTTTTGAAGCCGGAAAGGATAGCCCAGCTCTGAAGTGGTGAGCAACACACTGGTTTTTTTTTGCTCCTTGGTTAGCATGACGAAGTATTGCAATGCTTGCCTCGCATCGCGCATGTGCTATGTTGGCCTCATCCACGAGGATGCATGTGTCATTGCCTTCCGTGCGGAAGGTGTCTACTAGCTCCGACAAGGTCTGCTCCCTGACACTCGATGTCAATGAGTCGACCAGCGTTTTTACTGCAGCAGACATCGGTGTTGCAGCGGCTGGCGCCATGACCTCCGGATTTGTGCCAATTACCACCGCACTTGTAAGGCTGGAAAGGCTTGAAGACACCTTTTTGAGGGTTCCAGCCCAATCAGGGCGTTTGGACGCCACCCTGCCCAAGATAGAATTGAAGAGCTCCTTGCTGGGGTGCTCCCTCATATTCACATCCATCCATGATTGTCAGGTTTGCGTTGGCCTCGTTTTCAAGCTCGCACACGGTTCGATTGCGCATCAGCGTCTTACCGAGATTTTTCCCTCCAAGTACGAGTGAAAAATATTTTGTGCGCATCGCTTGCCCCAGTGTCTGCAAAAAATCGCCCCTGTCAACCACTTCGTTGGTCTTCATGAATTCATGTTGCCGCTGCATTACATTGGATAAATACTGCTCGACTGGCAGACTTTCTTCTTTAGCAGCCTCGCTTGCCAATGTGTGGAACCGAAACGGAGGACGTAGTGCTGGTCTTCCGTTGCCAATGCTCTTCAAGGCGATGCTCGAATGTGCACCTTGGCGTGGGGCCAAAAATCAGAGGTAAAATAACGCAAAAACAGTTAAACAGAAGCAAGCTCCTTCATCGAAAGCACGGTTGCGAACCGTCTGGATGAAGCACAGGTCAGAAGCTACCGTGAGCAGGAAGAGAAACCATGGCTTTCTGTGGGCATGTCTCATTGTGGGCAATCAATCACAAAAGTCAAGACGAAATGTCACTGCATGAAAAAGAAACCAACACGTCACATTGTTTACAATTTCCAACTTGTAAGCATGAATGGAAATTCAAGCAGATGTCAGTGTTACATGCTGAGCAAGCTCATGCGCAAGGCAAGGCGTGCTGGCAGCCCGCTCCAAAATTTCAGCAAAAAACCTTGCAAAAACAACTGCTGGAAAACCCTGCCGAGCATGCCAAAACAATTCGTCATGGGAACTGCGCTGTTGCAAACTCTGAGGCTGCACCAAAAAACAATCACACAAAGATTACGCCAGCATGGACCTTGAGGTTAAGGCCTGTTGCACTGCTCCTAGCTTGAACCCAAACAACCCTCCAAATCAACGAACTCCGCAAACCCAAAAGGCGCGCACTTCTTTTTCACGGGTTGCTTGAAAGTGGCACTGCCTCCAGAGCACGCGACGCGGTGCACCTGGAGCAGGAGGTATCATTGTCCCCCCTGTGAAACTGAAAAGGGCGCCAGACATGCGTGTCCTGGCTATTTGCAGTGCTTTTGCACGGCGCGGCAAGCGTGCCCGCGCTTTTTTAACAGACAGCGGTCTGTGCGATGAAAAGGGAATACCGCGGGCACAGCCCTAGAAAGCGCAGGCAAGGGCAGGCGTGCCCAAGCTCGCTGTGGAGGCCCTTAGCGGCAGCCGCTTCGGAACCTGCCTTGCGCAAGGCATAGCAGGATGGGAGGGTGGGTTTCAATCGAAACAAGCGGTTTGAGTTCAAGGCTAGGAGCAAAATGGCCACCGCGTACGAGATGCGTACGAGATTCACAACAGGCCCTAAACACAAGGGAAAAGAAAACCCTAAGCGTTAAGGCCTGCTGCACTGCTCCTAGCTTGAACCCAAACAACCCTCCAAATCAACGAACTCCGCAAACCCAAAAGGCGCGCACTTCTTTTTCACGGGTTGCTTGAAAGTGGCACTGCCTCCAGAGCACGCGGCGCACCTGGAGCAGGAGGTATCATTGTCCCCCCCTTAAGTGTTTCCAAGCAACCCCTCAGAGCGGGGTTGTTCCTGCCAGGCTGAAAAGCACATTTCACCGGAAACTGTTTGGAGATGCATGGGATGCACTCGCAAGTTAAAGGTCCCGCGCACTGCTCCTAGCCTCAAAACACTAAGAACCCAGAACCCAAAAGCCGACTGCAAGGCGCACACCTTTTTTACCGGGTTGCTTGGAGAGGTGGCACTTTCCTAGGGCACTGCGGTGCACCTAGGACAAGGGGCGAGATGTTCCCCCCCCCCCTGTGAAAAACAACAAGCGTGTCCTTGCTTTAAAATGCCAAAGGAGGGCGTGGCATGCGTGCCCACGCCCGCATCAAAGGACCTGCGGGTCCAAAGATGCAAACAGGGCCAGAGTGCGCTCCCAGTTCTTGTCCGGTAGGCTCCAAGCTTGGAGGACTGTCCGGGAAGCCTAAGAAGGGATGGGTGGGTGGGCTTCAAACGAAACCAGGACCGCGAGTCCTAAACGTGAGTTTGAGGGCTAGGAGCACCAAACGGCGGCGGCGTAGGAGATTCACCCCAGACCTATAAAACACAAGGGAAAAGAAAACCCTTAGCGTTAAAGGTCCCGCGCACTGCTCCTAGCCTCAAAACAGTAAGATCCCAGAACCCAAAAGCCGACTGCAAGGCGCACACCTTTTTTACCGGGCTGCTTGGGAAGGTGGCACTTTCCTAGGGCACTGCGGCGCACCTAGGACAAGGGGCGAGATGTTCCCCTCCTTCAGTGCTTCCCAACACAACCCCGGAAACAGGCGATTGATGCCAAGGCGCAAAGCCCCCCTCTTCAGTGCGGGGTTGCGGCGAATCAATCAAAGCACAGGGAGAGGCAATGCGAGGGCATTGCTTATACCTCAATGCAGCGGCTCTTCATCAGTCTATTTTCCTGATGTGTGGAGTTTGAGCTCAAACTCTGCCATTGCAGCCAGGTCTTCTGGCCACGGAAAAGCGCGCGCAGGGCTTTTTTTACCTTTTTTGCTAGGCGGCACTGTTTGGCTGCTGCATCACGCCCCAGCCGTGGCGTGAGCATGACGCAAGATAAGTGAGACATGGGTGGTCGAATAAGACGAGCCACCAGCCGATCGGAAAAGCCCCGCGAGGCAAGAAAAGCGAACCCAAAAACCGCAACAGGGGGAACAAAACCACCCCAAAAAGGCGGGTCGGAAGAGGCGCCACTCCGGCGGAAAATGTCCGATTGTGACCAGACCTCCAGTCAAAGCGGAAAGGGTCATCACACATCCTTCCAGAAAAGTGGGTGAAAAGATTCGATTCGATCGCTATGCAGCAAGAAATCCATTATAAAAGTACAGCTCAACCTGAGCTGTGATGGCATCCGAACATTTCACACCACCGTGCACGAGCAAGATGAGATGCTGCACAAAACTGATGGCCTATCTGGCCTTCAGCAAAGCACGTCGCAACCTGTCACGCATACCCCTGCGGCTTTGCGGATTCTTGTCTGTGTCATTAAAGTCGCGGTCGCAACGCAAGTCATAGGGCCCAGGGGGCATGTCAATGACAAAATTGAGATTGGTCGGATATCCCTGCTTCTTCAAGCATCCAATTCAACTGTCCGCTGTCCATGTCGCAGGCCTGGTCGGGCGGCGAATCCTTGGCGAGCACGGTAGAACCCCAGAACCCGAAGAGATGTGGGCGACACCGAGGATGGTATCAGATCTACAGGCGTCAAATTATACGTAGTGACGTTCTGCAGGTGCGCCACAGTCATTCTCAAGTGAGAAATCTGCTCTTCCAAGGCCCGAAATAGCAGGGGACGCGCGACCGCCTAATTGGAGTCAAATGGGACATACTGCTGGATCTGCGTCTTACGACCCTGAACCGTCTCAATCCGGACCGGAAATCGTTGCCCACTACACAGATAGAAGTTGAAAAGGAGCTCCAACCAACTGACACCCCAATCATGTGGGGCCGAGGGGCCATCCGGGCATTGTGTGGTATGGAGCCACTGCCACACAAGATCTGCAATGCGTCCACCGACGTTACAGCAGACAGCTTGCTGCTGAGTAAGTTCAGTGAAGGGTATGATTGAAGGCGTCATCGGGAGCCATGTGCCGATCTCACGTGGAATTGGGCGTGGTTCATGCCCAGTACCAAGTTCGGCCTGACTCATGCGCCTCAATGGCTTCTTTGCGTACCAAGGCTAGTTCAACCCAAGGCCTGCTGAAGCTGGGCACGTTCTTGCCGTTTATGGGCAGCGACTGTGTCAGCCAGGGCCACCACAGCAGGTGTCTCTGTACTAAGTGCTGTATTTGCGAGTCTGTCTGCTAGGTGGTTGGCAGTGATGCCCCACCAATCTAGCGTACTAACAGCCATGGCGGAGTCACGATGCGCTTTGATCTTATGTACAGCAACATAGCCTGCGGGCCACGAATCCCAGATAGCCTGCGCAAGATCATGGTTCATACATGGTTCTGGCAGGGCCAAATGGCCTAGTGACTTCCAGCAGTGAAGACGTGTCACTAAGTCAACGGCAGCCTGGCAATCCGTGTGAATGTTCACAGGTAAGTCGGAGTCCTGCACACGAACAAGTTGCATAGCCGCCCAGATTGCGCATAGTTCGGCACGTAGCGGTGATTGGTGTCCGGGGCAGAGTCCGCACGCAGCACACAGCAATCCATCGGGGGTGGCGGTCCCATTGCCCGGGCCTGCGGCGACGTTAAGGCGGGTCATCACTTTGACACACATCTTGAATCACGCCCCAAGCTGCACGGCTGGCTGCCGGTATATCAGGCGATTGGCACGTTCCATCAGTGTAGAACGTCCAACATACCACATCTCTACATGGTGGCGGATCAAGCTGGGGCAGCTCTCTGCCTTGATAGACAGCACGTAGGATGGGTTCTGCTGGACATTGGTGAGCCACCGCAAGGTGTGTCCATTCGGGTCTCTGGTCACGGAGCCAAGTGACAGTATCAGGATGGCGAGTTCTGCATGCGTCACCAACAGGGCATTCGAACACTCTATGTTGCGTAGTGTCATGGCTTTGACACAGAGCAGTACTGATCAGCCCACTGCGGTCCCCATTTGTGAAATTTTGGGGCGCCACTCACAACGGCACCCGTGATATTCATGACTGCACTTTTCTGCACATGGCGTGGCAACGCTTTGAAAGCTTCACGGGTGGTACGCAAGTCAAAGGGTACTTGAGTCGGAACTCCTTTACGGCTACCAACACCTTGCATGATGCGACAGGTCCACACATAGTGAAGGGAGCGTACAACCTCAGTCTTATCCACACACTGGATGCGAAAATTGATGCCGGCCGTACCACTGACCAATCCTGTGGGACCCAGTGTGAGCCCAACTTCACGAAGATACAAGGCACACGACGATGCCGAGCCAATAGCACGATCACCATCGAAGGCATGGACACGTTCACAGAAGGCCATCACTCGATCCAATACCATCGTTGGAGTGCTCGCAGCATATTAATGACCACATACAGAAGCGGATCAACCAAGTATGAGGACACTGCCGCACACGACACGATCGTCGAGGCATTGTGCCACGGGCCAACCAAGGCCGTAGTAGCTGCGCGCCTGAGCGAATGATGAGTCTCGGTCTCGCACGGACAGCAAAGTCAGGGGTTACACGATACACTCGGTAGGCCATGTCAGCAGCAAGTTGCACCCTCGCATCAAAGTCACATGCAACTAAAGAGCACTCCAAGGTCTTTGGCATGGTCTACAATGGACACTTGGTCAGGTGGCACCTGGTAGTGTGTCAAGATACCCTGCCAAGCCTGACGCATGGGCAGATCAGTACCCCAGCACCAAGATTTATCAATGCATCAGTAAGGTGCTGCGTGCGTCCAAAGGCCTCACTGTGACACTGTGCAAATTGTGATGTCCAAGACCAGTTATCCGCATACGCGGTGGGGTCAACACCTACGAGTTTGAGGAATGCATGGAAATGGAGGCAAATGGCAAGCATACACAACACCGACATGCCGTCACCTTCCGGTATACCACATGTCGAAGGTATTGCGGCATCAATGCGGCCCCCTACTACTGGCCAGCGTTGCAAGTCGTACAGCGACCGTATCCAAGTCAAGGAGACCGCGTTAGGAACACCCAAGCGGCACAGGACCTTGTACGCCAACTGGCAACCAACAAAATTAAAAGCCTTACGAAGGTCCAACACAAACCCACCAAAGGAGACGCGCTCAGCCAAGCATTTTTCCAAGCGGTCCTGGGCATCTAAGGTGATATCTTCGACACCGCGCCCTTTAAGGCCACACGAGATACCTTCGGGAAACCG